CATCATCATCATCATCATCATCATCATCATCATCATCATCATAAAGTTGGAAGGTACTTTGGAGGACATCTAGTCCAACCCCCTGCTCAGGCAGGAAACCCTATACCATTTCGGACAAATGGCTGTCCAGTCTCTTCTTAAAAACTTCCAGTGTTGGAGCATTCACCGCTTCTGGAGGCAGGTTGTTCCACTAGTTAATTGTTCTAACTGTCAGGAAGTTTCTCCTTAGTTCTAGGTTGCTTCTCTCCTTGATTAGTTTCCATCTGTTGCTTCTTGTCCTGCCTTCAGGTGCTTTGGAGAATAGCTTGACTCCCTCTTCTTTGTGGCAGCCCCTGAGATACTGGAACACTACTATCATGTGGCAACATCACTGTGTAAATATGAAAAGATGGAGTGTGTGTTATAATATTACAATACACAAATAAATCACTTCATGCCAAGTGCAAATACCTATGTCAGGGAAGTGATGGCTCCATTGTATTGGATGTATTAAAATTGGCTTAAAATAGCTATCTCTCATAGATTCTTTAATTCTTTAATTAATTAGGATTTCACTTCTGGGTAGGGAGTTGGATTTATCGGTTGATCTTAGTTTGATCATTTGTGCATTAAAATGAGGCATGATTGGTAATTCTGATAATTGGAAACCTACAAAATCCATGCAGTGTGGGCTGACTGCTGTGCTAGAAGCAACTATGAATTCTGTTATGTTTGAACAGCATATATAGAAAAATAATGCTACTATGGTTAGTGGTTAAGGCAAAGGGTAATCTCTCTCTCTCTCTCTCTCTCTCTCTCTCTCTCTCTCTCTCTCTCGCCTTGGTTGCAGAAGTCATTCGTTGGATATGAGTGTGTGTATGTGGACATGCATACATGCATACTGCCCTGTCTGATGTGAAATAGTAACAGCTGGTGTTACTTGTTCTGGGAAATTTTCTCATAGGCAAGAAAGATTGAGATTGACAGTGGTTTTTCTGAAGCATTTTTATAAGAATTTCCACTGTTATAACTCTTATTAAACATTTCTGATTCCCCAAGGGCACTTCCCCTCTAGTTCTTAACTGCTTTACAAGTTCATTTATCGTCATGTCCCTAGGATTCAGCCCATGCTGTAGTGGATGGCCTACTATGCTGTGAATAGCTCAGACTTCTTTTGTCTTGACTGACTAAAATGTTTCCCAGTTGTCCATCCAGGCAGCCAGCCTAGCTTCTATCATGGCAAAGCTTGGAAACAATAAGCCCTGTCCTTTCTCGCTACTATGTAATAGAAGGCTGTCAAGGCATTGCTGAAAATGTCTGAAAGTGTTTCTTTAACAGAAGTGCCTGTGTTCTTGAACAGCAAAGCTTAGGAATGCTTGTTTTATTTACAGTTCAGAAAAGGGTGTGTCTGCCTGTGTGTGGTTTCCCCCCCCCCCTTGACTGACTTCTTCCTTTTAGGGGGAGGGGTGATTTTGTGCATAGATCCTAAAGCTATAAAAATCTCCATGCTACATTGGTGGACTTTTGTAGAATTAATTGCATTGTTTTTGTCTGCTTAAATGAATGCTGGATTCCTTCTCCTCGTTGCTATACCCAAATTTTGTCCCTTCCTGCTGCACTGTATATTTCTTATAGCTGAGAACATTCTGGTTGGAATGAGAATTCATTCCAATGTGTTGCAATTTCAGCTTGGCTCTTGAATAAGTAGTACTGTTATCTTCTCTTGGTCTCCTTGCTGAAGAATCTCTTGGAATATCCACACAAAATTTATTAAGAGACAATTCTCCTCAGCTTCTTCCTTCTTTACAATATTTTCCATTAACACAGAGAGTTACTGGGGGGGGTGTCTGAAATAGGAAATGGGTTTTGGTTTGGGCTCAAAATAAACACAGAATGGTTCACAGTTTCTTTTGAACTGTTTAGGGGTGACGATGGTTCAGTGGAGCGGAAACTCAATGTTTAGATAGTTGCAGGTTGAGGCAAATAAAACAAAACAAAATAGGAAGATCTGACAGAGCAAGCTGGCTAGGCTGATGTGCTTCATTCAGTTCTCCCTTTCTGCATGCTCCCCCAGATTGGCTATACACTGGCTCATCCACCAGTCTTCCCAATTTCTTCTTCTTCCCTTCCTACCTCCTCTTAGGTGCTACTCCTGAGGCACAGCATAGCCAAGCCAGCCCCCTCCCAGTATTTCCAAGATGTTGGGCTTGTTGACTGGAAAGTCAGCAGTTCAAGACCTAAGCACTGTATGACAGGGTGAGCTGCCATTACTTGGCCCAGCTCCTGCCCACCTAGCTGTTTGAAAGCGTGCAAATGCAAGTAGATAAATAGGTATCACTTCAGTGGGAAGGTAACAGTGTTCTGTGCACCTCAGCGTATAGTCATGCTGGCCCACATGACCACGGAAGTATCTTTGGACCACGCTTGGCTCACTTGACTAGGAAATGAGATGAATAACATCCCCTATAACAGTGGTGGCGAATCTATGGCACGCCTGCCAGAGGTGGCACTTGGAGCCCTCTCTGTGGGCACACATGCTGTTGCCCCAGCCTCGCCTCCTCCCACAACCCCCTCCTCACCAGCAGCCCCCGTGGAGGAGAGTCACCCTCAAGCGTGGCCCCTTGCGGAGCAGCGCAGCCAAGGACATGGCAGTCAGGCAGTGTAGACAAGACTCTGCGCTCATGCCCCATCGTGCAGTTGATGCTGTGGGGTGCGGGCAGGGGGCGGCCGCCATGGCACGGTTGGGCTGCCTGGGCGATCTGCAGTGGGCCCTGGAAGTAGTGAGTGGCCCTGCACCAGGGCGGGGGATGGGGTGGGGGTGGAGCAGGGGCGGGGCCAGTTTTTGGGCACTCGATCTCTAAAAGGTTCGCCATCACTGCCCTATAGTTAGACATGACTAGACGGGAAACTTTTACCTTTTATAAAAAAAAACTTTTCTGTTACTTCACCAATTATGAATCATTCATCTTGTGAAACATCTCCATCAGGGACAGACATATATTGAATAAGTGCTCAAATTTTGATCTGTATTTGGTCCATTCTTAGCAAAATACAAATCTCAGTCTGAATGTGTATCAGTCAAGGCTGGATATGCTGTGCATTAAATGGTTTGTGAACAGAATATTTGCACGCAGCCAAATAAGAATGTGGACTATATCCTAACATGAGTTTTTCCAAATCATAACGTTCTCCTGAGGCATGGACTTTTGATTTCCAAAATTCCCAGCAGTGTTCATGTTAACTGGAGAATTCTATATTTAGCATTAACATCTTGAAGGGGACCCAGCTGAGGAAAGTTTCTGTAACCAATCTTAAATGGGACCCAGGTTAAATCATTGAAGCTTTTTAGTAAAACATTAAATACAATGTTTTGGAATTTTACAATATTTGTAAACATGCAGATATACTTTCTGGGAAAGATAAACTTTTTGTTTTGTTTGTGATGAGGACCCCAAGATATTTGACAGAATGACCGGTGCCATGTAAGATATAAAAAAGTTGAGAACCACCCTTCTACAAACATTCTCAGTTCATGTGGGTGACGATTGTACATTAATGCAGCATTTGTCCTAGAATAGGCTTTAAAAAAGAGCTTTTATTCTGATTTCTTAGATTAGGTAAGAATTGTCTGCATTTGGTCAAGTAAGAGCATTTTTTAAAATTAGAAAACAGTTGGTGGAAACTTCAGACAAATTTTAAACTCTGTGATGTAATAGTTGTAATTTTGGGGGCTTGCAAGAATTTCTCAAAAACAGATTAGAAGACGGGAATGCAAATACTTGGGAGTGCCATTCTCATTTGTACTAGTCGGTTTTGCTAATGATCAATGATTACAGGAGCTGTAAATCTCAAACAGCTGAGGAATGCCAGGTTATTTCTTGGATAATCTTCATAGTTCTGGGATTTGTTACACAACATATCAGAAGAAGAACATTGAACAAACGGTTTGATAAAAGAAAAGTTTTGAAGTGATGCAGATTCCCCGGAAAGAGAATGTCTCATAATAGTTTATGTGACATTTATTAGCTATATTTGGAGATACGCCAGCAACTGAAAGAATCCGGAGTGATGGCAATGGAAATTTTTTACATCACTATGGGAAAGGAGTGGGGTGCATACTCATATTTTATGTCTTAATAAAGCTTGTAAACCCCATGCTATTATTTATTTGATTATCCACGAAGACATAATGTCAAAGGAGCTTCCTCTGTGCTTTTTCCTTCCTAGGATGGTTAGGTTTTAGCTTGTTAAAATATTTCCTTGATCCCTTGACATGAAATGAGGAAGTGACTGAGATGCCAATTGTAACACCAGGAGGCTGTTTGCACCAGTTCTCTGGCTCAGCTTCATCATTTTTCATATCATCTGTGGGCTGTGGGGAAAGTGAAAGTGGAAGTACAGTATATTATCTCCTATGGAGAATATACATTACAGGAGAGTAAATCTTATTCTTCTATTGTCAGCAGCATTGAGTTCACTTGTACAGGAGTTGAGTTTGTGGGAACCTTCTTTTTTTTTCCTTGTAGTGAACTGGAAAAAGTACCATTTAAATAAAGTAATCAAAGTTCTTGACAAATATTATCTTGGCAATTTTTTTTACAGTGCCTATTTTAAATAAATAAATATCAAGCCCACAGGATATACAGACATAAAACTGATAGATTAGTCAGATTTTTTAGGGCAACATACAGCCAGCTTAATCCTGAAATGAAGCTTGAACAAGGATTTCCACCTCAGATTTTCCTGGGCTGCATGTATACTATGCCTCACCAAAAGTCAGGGGGAAAAATGCAGTGCAAAAAATACCCATTCTTATCTAGGTACTACAACATTTGTGCTTGCCTGCTTGCTTTATTTTCAAAATGTTCAAATTTCTTCTTTGTAAGGCTTCCAAGATAATAGCATTAAAAAAAGAGCAATTTAACGATAGTAAAATTTACAATAATATGTTACCATCAAGCAAAAATAACGTAACAGCTTTGACTGCATTGCCAATATCTTTTTTGTTTTCTTCTTTGTAGGAAAAGCCTTTGATATTACCTATGTACGCCTAAAGTTCCATACCAGCCGTCCAGAGAGTTTTGCCATTTACAAGCGCACTCAGGAAGATGGTCCATGGGTGCCCTACCAATATTACAGTGGCTCCTGTGAGAAAACATATCACAAACCCAATCGAGGTTTTGTCAAGAGTTGGGAAGATGAACAGCAGGCTGTTTGTACAGATGAGTTCAGTGACATCTCGCCACTCACTGGTGGCAATGTGGCCTTCTCAACCCTGGAGGGAAGGCCCAGTGCTTATAACTTTGATAACAGTCCTGTCTTGCAGGTAAGAAAACTTGGAATTGGATCCAAGACTAAGTCTGACATGTTTCATTTCTTAAGCTCCATGTCATTCCAAAATCTCATCGATCTCTTTTTTCCTAGGGAAACTGACACTTTTCATTCTTTTCAGAGTGGGTCCTATATAGACTATTGGCATGCTTAGTTCATAGGTGGTCAACCAGGGGATAACATCAAAAGATCTTTAGTGGCACCTGCAAACTCACTTTCTCTCCATTTTTGCCTACTATCATGGCTATTTCACAAACAAAGAATGCAAGAGAGGGATCATACTTCTTTGCCATCCGTCCCTATAAATCTTTTCCCAAAACCTACTTGACACTTGACTTGGTTGCCAAAGATAATACACATAGGGAGGAAATCAAGATGGGGGAGGAAGCATTAACTTCTCTATGTGCAGGTTCTTATTTATTCAATCAGTCCTCAACTTATAAAAGACACCTCCAAAAAGGTACTTATGACCCAGACTTGAAGTTCCAGTGGTCTCCCTCCCTCTTTCCACAGTCACATGACCATATTTTGGGCACTCAACAACCAGTCCATATTTATGGCCATTTGCAGCACCTCAAAGTCATATGATTGCGATTTACTGACATTTACTTTCCCTTTCCAACAAAAATGCCCCAGAACAAATACAGGTAATCCCCGAGTTACGAGTGTTCACTTAACGCTCGTTCAAAGTTACGTGATGAGTGCCCCCTAGTGCTTACGAGCAAGTCCCAAAATTATGAATGTTGCTACACCACAGCAGTTGTTCGCCCTTAAGAGCGACTACAGTGGCACTGCAACATTCACCCTGGTTATTCCTTCCCTCCCCACCCCTGCCTGGATCTCCCTAGGCACCAGGCCTTCAATACTCACCCTGCGAAGAGCGAGATCCTTCGCTTTCTTGGCTGCTCCAGGCCTTCAGTGCGTTCACAGAGAATAGAGGCCTAAAGTAATGCGAGATCAGTGGGGCGAGATCTCATGCTACTGATCTCGCATGATCTCATGGTACTTTAGGCCTCTGATCTCTGCAACAGAGAACAGAACCAAAGCTGGGGGACGCTTCAACGTGCCTCCAGAGGCTGGATCTGGGCTCTGGAAGCCTTTTCCAGGTTGCTGCTGCCCGGATATGAGGCCAGGGGACGCTTGCACACGCCCCCATGGCCTAATCCAGCCACTGGAAGACTTTTCCAGGCTGCTGCCGCCAGGAAATGGGCTACCGGAGGGCTATGTAAGTATCCCTCTGGCCTCAGATCTGGGTGGCAGCAGGAACTGCAGAGAGGAGATGGATCTTTTCCAGGTGAGTCTGGCACGGCAGGAAGGGAAAGGGAAGCATGAGGTATCTTAGTGGGTCGGAGAGGCCTTGGGGGCCTGTTCCATTACTAGGCCCTCCGTGGCCTTCCCCACCCTGAGATACCTCATGTTCACTTAACGAGCCACATGCGTCTTACAAGTTTTTGAGTTACCAGTGAAGTGTGCAGGCTCCATTACACTCGTAATTCAAGGACTACCTGTAATGGGTTCACTTAATTGACAACAGCATTTGCTTAATGACTTCAGCATTTGCTGTATGACATACATTCATTTAATAACCAGTGCAAAAAAGTCCATAAAATTGGGCACAGCCCTGTGCTATGTAATGTCCATCACAATGTATGACCATAATTGCATCTCCGTTATGGTCATAAGTCAAAAACTACCTGTATGAAGAGTGGAGAGGCTATTTGTGTCAATGGGGGGGGGGGAGAATGCATGCATATGCACGTAGGCAAGAAAAGTATAAAGAATGCTGCCTTCAGAAGTTTCTGTAAAGCAACTTTTAGCATGTAATAAAAGATTTGGATTACGAACAGACCAGTCTGGACTAGAGGTCACAATTCTTTACTTGTACTAGGGCAATATTTCTGTGTATACTGAATTCAAAACAAGACTAGGTGTAAAACTAGGAGAGTGTTTTAATTGCTCCCCTGGTCCATAGTCCAGATTCTAGCATTTTGGTGGGAGAAAATCAATGCCAACTTTTAGCTAGTTAAATTTATAATGATTCACACCTCTAATGAGAAATCCAGACTTTCCCTTTTAAGGGAAAAAAAGTTGTGCACTGAATTGTTGTGATGTTTGTTTTCTCTCATGGGATCCATTCACTTCCTTTTCAAGTTATTGTTAACATAATTTTGAATCTATTCTACATGAAATGAACAGGAAGAGTTTGAGATACTGTGAACATGAATGCTGTTAAGTGGTGATTATTCAATTTTACTAAAAGCATGGTGACAGTAGTTGTTTTTAGTTCTGACAGGCAGCAGAAGTTCAAGGTGGACATCCATTTGGAACAACTATGGGTAGCAAATGAACCATGGCAAAGACAACGAGACAGAGCAGGGAATAAAAATTACACACCAACATAGCACACATTGTATTTACAGTGTGTTTTGGACATTCCAGGTGTATATTTGTGGAAAAGGAAACCCCAGTACTTATCTATGTATTTAAATTCTTTTATTTTCTCCTGCAATTTTTGGATTGAGAACTGGGAAGCATTCCAGATGGTCTGGGTGGGACATAGGGCAGGGAAGGTGTGGCACAGCACTAAATTCCACAGTATCCCCTCATTCATAGGGATATACGTAACTTGATTATAATGCGGGTAGTGAGATGGCTTCAATGTAATTCTAGACAGTGACTGGTGTTCTTTGTACCATGCTTCCATGCTGCCTGTTTTGCTTTCCATATATATATAGTAATCCTTGCCTCAAGCAAACGTAACTTGTTTTGCCCAAGATAAAGAGACATGGAGTGAAGAAAAATTAGAAAAACATGGAGAAAAAAAAAACATATAAGGATCTGAGGTTGGAATTAAGCCCACCCAGCTTGGTTAAATGTCCACTAAATGATGCACTGTATCAGCCTCTCCATTGCACCTTGCAGAAGAACCATAATTCCCACCCATGTGTGGAAGGCACCCATTGGGGAAGGTTAAACTGTTTGCTTTTGCATATGCGCTTACAAAAAGTAACAGTATACAACAAATGGAATTGCAAAGCATTTGTGACTGGGAATATAATTGTTGAGCTTTGTTAGCAGTAAAATCGTGTCAAAATAGTTTGCAAAAATAATTACATTTGCTTAGTGGATGATTCTAGTCTTTCTTTAAATATAGGCAAGATGCAGTGCAGAAAGACTGTGATTCACAGGATTGACAAAGTCACAACCCTCTAGCCCAGCGGTTCTCAACCTATGGGTCGTGACCCCATTTGGGGTCGATCGACCATTTCACGGGGGTCGCCAAGCAAGGCTGTCCGCCATTTTTTTCCCCTTTTCCGGCGGGTGCCTTACTTCCCTTGGGCTGGGGCAGCTGGTGGTCGGCCTGCTCCGTCTCTGCCGCTTGCCAGCTACGCCTCGGCCGGCGCAGGGGGCGGAACCACGCATGCGCGGCACTCCCGGGCAGGGAAAGTCCTCGACTTACGACCGGTTGGATAGTCCTCGACTTAAGACCGGTTTAGTCCTCGACTTACGACTGGTTTAGTCCTCGACTTACGACCGATTGGGGGTCTCGGCATTAAAAAGGTTGAGAACCACTGCTCTAGCCATTAGGATTTTCATTGACATATCTTTGCCAGATCTTCCACTTTGTAAGCCAATTAGCTTGCCCGGTTCATGCCCCCTGAACATTAAGAGTTTGATGACACAATGAACAAACTGATCAAGACTTCTACTTGATCACAGAGACTATCCCGAAGAGTGCCCATTTTTCAGCTAGAAGCTTGGTGGTCAGCGTGGCCACTAGAGGCAACTCTGGCTGAAGAATTAGAATGTGGACTTGAAATCAAAATTGATAATATTAAGATCATTCAATGGAAGCAAACTATTTGAATTTCTTAATTGAGACTAAGGATAAAAGAAAGCCATAATTTAACCAGAAATGCAACTTAGAGGAAGGTTTTGAAGCATAAGCCATCTAAATTTGAAGATTCTGCTTGTTGAGCTGGGCAATTACTTCTAAGTAAATGTTTGGAGCTCAGGATTTGTGTCCTATGCCCTCTGAAGTCCAGCTTGTAAATTATAAAAATTAACACTGTACAGGTTAATAATTTCTTCTTCCTTTTATTTCATAGAAACAGTGCTCAGTGTCCCTTGATTGATTTTCCCGAGAAAGTGAAAAGTGGACAAAATTGGGTTTTGAGCATAGAAAATTTGGTATATACATACTGTCACAATCATGTTTTCAAAATTGATAGCAAGTCAACCTTTCAAGATGTTCTAATATTCCAAATATGCAAAGGCTTCCATTTGTTATGTACAGAGCCCAATTGATCTTTCTGCTGCTAATCCTTTAAAGTCCAGATAATATCACAAATCTTCACTGAAAATAATTTTTCCAAAAATGTGTAGACATGTTTCCTCCCACACACATAGCATGCATTTCTGATGAATTAATTCATGTTACATGATATTTCACAATAGCAATTTAGGCTGGGGAGTCTCCGTCTCTGTATGTCTGCGTGTATATAGAAACATTTCATATAATAAACAAAATGGTTGTTCAGAACCCTTTGCAATAATAGTAATACAGGGAAACGGGTATCATATTCTTTACAAAATAATTGTAAGTAGCTATTAATAAAAAATAAATTAGAACACACTGATCTAGATATTCCAAAATTTAGGGATGCTTGGAGTATTGAATGCCAGTGGAAGTTTGGATTCTGACATCTATGGGCCATACCTGTATGGATTTAAAATTATTAAAGAATATTTACAATGCATGGGATATTTATGCAACTTGTATTAAGGAATTGATGGTCTGAGTAATTGTTGGAGATCTGATACATTGCAACAAAGGTTTGAATGATGTGTGGTCTCATGCTATAATGACTTTCTTTTGAATAAAACATTTCATATGCAATATTAGCTTTATTTTGGAAGATGCACTGATTATTGAAGATGCTCAATTATGCACCAAAGATTTGGAAACCAGCAGAAGACAATAGAAATGGCTATTGCTTCCTTTTATGATCTCACACAGAAACAAAAAAGATGCAAGACTGTTTTTTGTTAATTATATTGGTCAGAAGAGATGATGCTTCTTTATTTAAATAACTGTTTAACCCAAAAGCCCGATTAAAAAAACTGATGAGATCCATGGACTGTGTATGCTAGTTTATAGGCTTAATTTTGCATTGTTTCCTAATTAAGTAAACTCATTCCAACATGTGAATTTACAATACATCAAAAGCAAAGCATCTGTCCTAGGGCCTATAGAATTAAGAATGTTGGATGCCATTTGCTTATGTCAGTTTCAACTTATTTCATGGCAAATTGGGATTCTTTGGGGAAAAGATACCAGTAATTTTTTGCTGTATGTGATGTCATATAACAGTTGGGTATCTGGTAGTATCTTTTACTAAAAAGGAATTAGTCTAGTATTTTTAAACTGTATTCAAAAAGATCTTTCTCTGTTTTGTCTTTAGTAAGTGTCCTTTTCTACCTCATTCTAATCCATATTTTAGTTCCTTTTTCATCTCTTCTACACCACCACTACCCTCATATTTGTGGCTCTTATTTTCCTTCCTCCCACTTCCTTTAAATCAGTGTTTCTTAGCCTCAGCAACTTTAAGATGTACACAACTCCAAAGTTGCCAAGCTTGAGAAAGAATGATTTAAATGACCTTGGTTTCTTCATGTTTGGAATGCAGTGGCTTTTGTGTGTATTAAGCTTTTCCTGTGGTTTTCTTGGTCATAACTGATTTAGATTATGTGGTTTAACTTCCATTTTCTCTTGTAGGAGTGGGTGACAGCTACAGATATCCGAGTAAGCCTCAATCGCCTGAATACCTTTGGAGACGAAGTATTTAATGACCCTAAGGTTCTCAAATCCTATTATTACGCAATTTCTGATTTTGCTGTGGGTGGCCGGTAAGTAATGAATCCCAAGTGATTCTCTTTCTAATAGTTTAAATAATTGCTTGCTTGGGGCAGTATTTCTCAAACTCTCATGCAGGATGGAGTTTTCTGGGAGTTAAAATCCACACATCTTAAAATTGCTGAGGTTGAAAAATACTATTTTAGGGCTTTGGTGTGATTTCAGCCTCTCTCTGAGACAGGCTTTTTAAAATGCATGTTCATTAAAAAATGTGATATAATAAAAATGTAGCTTTACATTAATGTTTAATTGATCCAAGCACTATTTCTGTATCCATAAAGTGTCTTTGAATTTTATTCACACTAAATTTCATCTCAGTTTGGATGCCTATGAAAATAAATGTCTTGCTTTTAACCGTTATATGCTGATTATGGTAAAAGTACAGTCACTGATTTAATTACAGTATCTGTCCTAATGTGACTAATATGATCATTACATAGAAGAAAAGTCTCTTGTTATTTCACTCTGGTATTTTACATTAATTACAACTCCTTCTCTACCTTCTGGCTCTGTTTGTAAGCCAAAAGTCTTTCTTAAAAACTTATCTACTACTTTTCCAATAACATTATAGCAACACCTTTCCTAGCAGTCTTGTAAGATAGGCCAATATCCATACCCTCAAATGCAGATGGGAGAGGGGGAGGCAGATGTGAGAAGATGAGACTCCTAGAATCCTGGGCACAGCAAAGCAACTAAGTTTGTAAAGTACTTAGGCTGTTTCCAAAATGTTATTTAAATCATTCAGAAATCAGTAAGCAAGAAATGGAGCTTAATATATTCAATCAGAAACACATGAGACTAGATTTTAAACATTTAGTCAATGTATATCTCTGAATTCGCTGCCAACTTCAACAGTTAGCCCTTATTTTTAAGGATGAAGTGCAAAAAACCAGCAAATTTGGCTAAAGATGTACATTGTGGTTGCAGCTTGTATTCTGAATCAGAATTGGTAGAATTGGTCTTTGTCCATCTCTTGGCTTGCTGGGAAGAAATCGTCTGCAGTTGTAAAAGGAGGACAGGTGTGGTAATTTGGATCCAGATAGGAACTTTGGAAGACCAGCTTTGGCTATAGGACACTATCGAGACTGCTCAGTGTATACTCTGGTTTGGAAAATTGGAAAAGCATGATTCCTCAAGCATAGTGGGATTTTTAAATACACCTTATGACAGTCACATTATTAAACCACGTTTTTAAATTGGAGATGTCAAAAGCTTGGTATTTTTTTTAAAGTAATTGCAATCTTGGTTTGGTATGGGCAATCATTGACAAAACTAAGGTTATCTGCTCAGTCCTTTTTATTAAGAAGCTTGCACTGTAGCAAGATCTCTCTTCTGGTGGGAACATTCCAGTCCTGCAATCTCTCTGATAATGAGTCAGTCTTTGCTTATGTGGGAAGACTAGACTGCTAGAGGACAAACTGTATATAGTTTTCCTAAAACCTGTTTCTGCCTTATAGATGCAAATGCAATGGCCATGCAAGCGAGTGTGTGAAGAATGAATATGGAAAGCTTGCTTGCAATTGCAAACACAATACCTTTGGGGTTGACTGTGAGAAATGCCTTCCTTTCTACAATGACCGGCCTTGGCGAAGAGCAACAGCTGAGAGTGCCAATGAATGTTTGCGTAAGTGTATATTGGGGTTATTTTTAAATAATCTGGTTTTATCACAAACCTTTCTGCCCAATTATTTCACCACTTCCTACTATCAAGGGAGCGGTAGCCAATTTTAAGTGCCTTCAATAAGTTTTCTTCCTTTTTCCTCTTGGCAAGTTGTAGTACTTCCTGCCTTGGCTATTCTGTATCAATGCAGAAGCATAGCATATTTTTAACTTTATCCCAGATGTCTTTGTTCATGTTATCTCTTTGTGTGTGATAAAAATGTCTTGGGAGTTGCAGAAAGTTGAGGTAATGTTCCTGTTGATATCTCAAAACTAGATCACATTAACCGACTACTGGTTTGCTCTCTTTGTTTATTTTTGGCAAATCTAACTTGTGAAATAAAAGTGCCGTTCTCCTTGATATAGTGTTGATTTAGTATGGTCCTTCTGGGCTCAACCAGTTGCAACTGAACCCGTTGTTCAGTGTGCCAAAATAAATAGATAAGATTACCCAGATTTTTTTTTTTTTAATCTCAAGAATAGGGAAGTATTCAAATTCAGCAGATAAACAGCTGGTCCTCAATTTTTTCTTATATTCTGTTGATGCTAATAATATTAAAAAGTATCAAGATGCCATGAAATATGTTTGAACCTTGTTTCCTGATTATTTGAAATTGTATTTTGAAATCTCTGCAACTTCTAAGGCTTCCAAAGATATTATCTCCATCAGGGATGTCCACAGTGTGGGGAATCAAAAGAGTCAAAATGAGAAATACAACTGTGTGATCAAAGCCCTGATTCTTTGTCACACACAGCCTTTGATCACACAGTCAAACCCACCATCTTGGCATTTATGACCCCTCTTCATAAGATGCCCTTGTTCACATCCATGAACTTTCAAGACATCATAAACTCTTTGGCTGAAAGTTAACAGTAGTGATGGTTTTCTCAAAGCTGAAAAACTCCATTGTTTTTGGAATTTCTGCAGAATTGTGTCAAACATACAAATAAAACATATATTTTAAAAGAAATAAGTATAGAAAATAAAGTGATCTGAGAAATGGTTTCTAATTCACACCTCACCAAGTGTTGATAAAAAAGTAAAATGCTGAATTCCAAAAAAAATAATAATGATTGTTTGATTGACAACAGTTGATTGCTAGAAAATCAGTTTACAGTCACAGGATACATGTTAAAATTAACTCTGAAACCTACAATTTTCAGCACAACCAAAGGGGTTCAGGTGACTGTTTTTTTTAAATTAATCTGCCAAGCATCTAATGTTAATATTCTTAGAAACTTGGTGGTAACAAAAAGAATTGCAGAGCAGGCTTGCAATACTTTGTTGTAAGTATACAGCTGAGTAGTGACATAATGACACCTGAACATCTGTTATAAGGTGACAGTATCAGCCTATCTATCTTCTGGCAAATATCCCTTTTTTCTTCATAACTTTCTCAGGAACAAAATTTCTGATCTACTTGTAGGAAAAAAGCTTCAAAACAAGAAATAAAAGCCCTTAACAAAGTGACTTCTTTCACTTAGCTGCTGACATACAGTTCTGTCTTTCTGCTTTGGTTTTGATTTTGATCTGCAAAGATTTCTTTTCGTCTGTAAACATTGAAAACACATACAATTTAGAATTATTATTTTTTTTAGCATTTCGGTTGAAGCTCAGATGAAGAATATTGTATTTTTGGTGAGAACTGCATGCTATAAAAACAGTCCTGTTTTAAGCTCTACTTCTCCATAGAATAGAGCACAACTTATAGAATCTGGCAATGANTTGTTGTTAGTTGCAAAGTCGTGTCTGACCCATCGCGACCCCATGGACAAATATATAAATATAATCCACAAATAATTTTCAACAAAAGACTTTCAAGATAAATTGCATTGTTAGGCTAAATCCTTTAAGTAACAAATCGTAGTTTCAGGACTTTTGATAACCTCTGATCTAGAGCAAGCGTGTCAAACTCGCAACATCACATGACATGTCATGACATATCGTGACTTTTTCCCCCCATTGCCGGCAATAGGGTGGACGCGGTTTCGCTATGATGCATCCGGCCCGCGGGCCAGCAGTTTGACACCCCTGATCTAGAGCAATGAGCCTTTATGTGTAATGGGCAGGTATCCCCCTGAGAATTATAGAATGACCCTGGTGATAGCTCAATATATAGCACTTTCTTTGGCCAACCAGACATGGAATGGGCTTGGGAAGTTAGTGTCATAGTTTCTAGCCTGGAATACCAGCATTTATCCATGGCATGCTTTGTATGCTGCTGTTGCACACCTATTGACCATGGGTTGAAATTACTATCTATTCTGAAGTAAGTAAAATCCAGAGTAGCTTAGGTTTTGAAACTATATCATACTTTTTTTCTTGTTGTAAGAAGTGCAGCTTAATCCACAGGTTTGAAAATTCAATACTAAAGCTTGGCGAAATTAAAAGAATATTTTCAGAATGATGCCTTGCATTCGTCCATGTAAATCTGTGACTTCAGCTGGAAGCCTAATAAAGCCAATGGTTAATGGCTCTTGTTCTGCTTCACATCCTAGACATGAGCAGTTACATCTGTCTATACTAAAGAAAGCAGAAATACATATATTTTTTCTCACAGGATGCAGCTGGGGGGAGTCTGGTCTCATTGTTATCTTTCCCTGAAGTTTGCATGCCAGAGAGCAGAGTAACTGTGTGGGAGGGCTGTGGGAAGGGTAGAAACTGTAGCCCAGCTGGGAAGACAGCCCGGTGGAGACTCCAGCAACATCTCCCAAGCCCAACATTCAGTCGGTGTGCTAGTTAACTTCGTAGTGTGTAATCAAGTCAACCATGTCAAGTGGAAACAGTGTAGTTGCAGCATACTGTCACAATACAGAATACATATGCCCCCTCCCTGTGGTTTTATTCCTTATCTACTTAGCTGGAAAGAAGAGACCACTATCTAGAATTAGTGGATTGGTAGCCTAAACTCCATTATTCTCTTTGGCCATGATTTTAGTCCATTTTCATTTATATAGATATACAAATTGATCACATGGACCATTTTCTGCTTGTAAGCCAAGGTTTAGCAAAGAACTCGTGCACAGGAGGAGTTCGGAGTTTTCCATTGAAGCATCTTCAGTACAGATTCTCATATCTTGATTTGCACTCAAGGTTTGGGAGAAATTAACTTGAGTTATGAAAGAAAAAGCTCTACTAAATTTTTTGTTTTTCATACTGGGAGGGCGTAGCAAGGAATCCAATCATCCTGGCCCTTCTGTGTTTCTTAATTCAAAATAGTGTAACCAGAGGCCATTCTGGCTTTGAATGAATGGGAAATAAATTATGAGAATTAAAGTCCAACACATCTGGAAGTTGGGAATATTTGACTTAGGGTTTTTTTTTCTTTCTCATTTAAATCCAATTTAAGGTCTTCTGCTGTAGTCAGAGCTTGAGCTCTCTAATTCAGGAGTATCACTGATACTGTCTGTCTGTGGTACTTGTGGTATCCCTGTGAAGTAGAAAAAGAGAAACCACAGTAATGTTGTTTTAGTTTTATTTTTATTTTTTTTAAAAAAAGCAGCCTAAATCTAAAGGGGAATGAAAGAAGTGATTCGTGTTTTCAACATGACAAAAATAAAATTTTCATTGAAGAAAAAACGATTCTGTCACCACAAATAGGTAGGAATAATTTAGTTGCCCATCGTCTGCCTGTCACTTTTCGTTTTGGGGCCATTCTAATTGCCTGAACTCTTATTTTAAGAGAACTTGAGTTCCCAGGTCTGTCAGTAGTGTTGCAATGTTAAGTTGACAATTCGGAAAAGAATTTTAACCCCTATGCACACACACTTCACAGCCTTTTAAACTAACCTGGTTTTGTGCTCTCCTACATACAGGCTGTAGCTGCAATGGACGATCACAGGAGTGTTACTTTGATCCTGAGCTGTACCGATCCACCGGCCATGGTGGACACTGCACAGGCTGTTTTGGTAACACTGACGGACCAAATTGTGAGAGATGTCGGGAGAACTTCTACCGCCTGGGGAGTGAGGCAGATTGCCTGCCATGTAACTGCAGTCCTGTGGGTAAGGGTTAAGGATACTGGTTTTCTGCATTTTCACTTATTCTCCAATAATATTTTCCATAGTATTGAAATGACATTCTTAGCACACTTTCAGGTTTACAAGTACTGGAGTTGTATGAAAAAAGTTTGCATTAAATCATAATGTATGTGATTGGAGATCTTGGTAAACTGCATTAAAGGGGAAAGCAAGGTGCTATGGCCAGAATGGCAAGTATATGGGAAATAGTATCTGCATGTTGAAAAACTACACTACAAAGGTTTAAATTTAGGGCCTACTTTAGGATCTCAATTAGGGATGGATAACTTTGGATGGCTTTAGGTCACATTTAATTTTTTTCCCCTACAGCCAAAGGCTACATTGAACTCAACATTAATGCAAAGTAGTCAAGGGTATATTAGACCTGATAGGGGTAAGAGGTGAATCTTGTTACTTTAGAACTATTTTAAGTTTATTTGGAGAATTTTGCTGGAGTTTTCATGGGTTTTCTAATTCAAAATGTGAGGAAAACGTATGACCAAGTTTTGGTAATTGAGGAGAGAGCTGAAAGCACTACAGATAGTCCTCACTTTATGACCTTAATTGGGACCATCAATTCTGTTGCTAAGCAAAACAGTCATGAAGCAAAAAAACCAGCATGTGACTATCCCAGTTAGTGATGGCAGTTACACTGTTAAGCGACGATGTCATCTGACCATGAGTTGCAAATTCCTACTGGCTTCCACATTGACTTTGCTTTCTGGAAGGTCACAGATGGTGATTACATGACCACGGGACATTGCGACTATTATAAATGTGCAATGGTTGTCAAAGGCCCAAATCACAATCATATGATCATGGGGGATGCTGTGAAAGGCATAAGTGCAAGGACCAGTTGTAAGTTACTTTTTTCAGTGCCAATGTTGCTAAACGAATGGTTGTTAAGTGCCAATGTTGCTAAACGAATGGTTGTTAAGAGAGGACTACCTGTAGTTTGAAGTTAAATGATCCTTTGGGCTTCAAATATCCAGGTGGGTCCTCAATCGCTGTGATAAGCATGATGTGCAAACGTTTGCATTTGGACATTAATATGGGATCTAGATAAGTGACTGAAAGCTTCAAGTCAAGACATTATCCAATTTAAAAAAATTTTTAAAAATCATTTACTGCATCAAGCTGAGATCTCCAAATACAGGCTGGTGCAAATTGTTTTGGTTTTGTTTCAAGTAATAAAAGCGCAGCATCAGTGTAGAGTGGTATATCATGTTTTATCATGCATTCAAGAATAATGTACAAACCTCATAAAACCCTTTAATAAATTTCATGGCACACAGGCAATCAGTGTGTATTTAATCTGTGGGTTGATTTAAGATAATATTTTTATCTGAGTAATTATTTCTAAATAATTATAGACTAGAAAGAAGAATGTTGATTGTATATGCTAAAGGCTTCAATAAGCTAAATAATTCCCTTTTGTTTAAACTCTGGGGGTTGGTTCTGTGTGAAAAAAAAATCCCTAAAAATGAATTAAAGACATCTTTAAAAATCAGGAGTTAGTTTCTCTTTGCCCAACTTAACACTCTCAAAAATGTTGGGATAGCAGTTCCCATAATTTCAATACAGCAATAATTTCAGCTACGTTGATTAGGAATCCTAGTGATCTAAGAATGTCAAAGATGAGGACTCTAAAGTATTGATATTTCTTGTACTTGAAAAGCAAAATAAACAGTTGAATGCATTCCACTTGGATATATTTGCATTGTAAATTAGCTTAAAGAGTTGAGATAATTGACTTTGACTTAAGTATTGAAGTTAATAATAGGAAACAACAGAACTCACACTATTTTAGATATGGGGAAAGAAATAGTTCCTCCATTTCATTCAGTTGTCTAGAAATCCTACCTGTTGACTACTGAATCAATTTCAGAAATTGACATATTTTAGAGAGAGTATCTCTCTTTCTAAAAGATTTGACTATGGCTCAAATGTAATGAAATGAATTCCAAACAGCACACTCACAGCTGACATCTCTCCAGTTTATCAATCAACTCTGAATGAAAACAAACAAATTTTTAAACACTCAGTTCGGGTTTTATATTCATTCAGGTCTCACTGGTGACTTGATTCAGGACAAAGGATCTAATAACTACGTTCAAGAATTCTGTGTGTCATGACAAGTTCCAATGGTTTAGTTAGTGGCAAAGATACCTTTTCCCTGACTAAATAGATCAGGGGTGTCAAACTGCCGGCCCACAGGCTGGTTGCATCATACGGAGGCCACGCCCACCCCAGCTCTGGCAATGCAAAATAAGTCGCCATTCGTTGTGACACATCACATGATGCGGCGAGTTTGACACCCGTGAAATAGATGAAGCAACTCTTGGTGATTTTATTCTGCATTTCTACTTGTGGTTCTCTTCCAAACCAGCAGAAGCCCTAATTGATTTTTAAAATCAGATTTCCTCGTGTTGTTTTTTTTTAAAATCAGATTCCACTGAGAATTATTTTTTTGCAACTTAATCTATGTACATTTGGACTTTACTTCCTTGTGACATTTCTTTTGTGCACTGAATTACGCAGTCCAAAAGTGGTATATTTTACAATTTGCAGCCTCTTGCTAAGTGAGAAAGGGGAGATTTGTGTCTCCTATTCAGCGTCCGATTCCTGCCGCTGGATCCTAAATTATCTTACAAACTTCCTCAAATACATACTCCACAGTCAGGCAAATGATTGGGTGCAATACCATTGAAGTCCAACTCTTTTTCACCTTATTATGCAGTTGTCATCAAATGATAATAGTAAAATGGAGATTAATCCCAAGTAATGGGTCATTGTGGGGAAATGAAGAGTAAGATGGGAAGTAAGAGAGCAGCATAGTTAGAGAAGAGGTGTAATATAAATTGCCTCACAGTAGCAACTGATTTTGTCATTCAACCAGTTTGCAATCCAGTTGCTACCGCACTCTGTGAATCAGTTTATGTATTTCATCTGAATTTGTATTTCAGATTATTTGCATAATTTATAAATTATTCTTAAATGGTGCTGTTCTCTAAAATGCACTACATTAACCAAACTCTTTCTAGATTACACTGGAGATAATGTATTTAAACTACTACATATTACTAGTGGCAATGCGAGGTTTTGTGGAAATTGAGGAAATTACTCAACATTACTATACTGTTACAAAATTATTTAAAAAGTACAATTATCAGAAATTCACCCTTCCTTACTTCCCTCCATCCCTCATTTTTTTCCCCAGGTAAAATTGTTTTTGAAATGAATTTATTATTTCAAAATAAATAAAAATAACTGTAGCTGGAAAAGCTTTTCCTTTCTAAATTTTGCAAAAGGAATTATTAAGAGAAAACTAAAAATGGATTTTTGTGGGAAAGGACTTCTAAGTGTACTTGTTTTGTTTTCACAGGCTCCCTCAGCACACAGTGTGACAATTATGGACGCTGCAGTTGTAAACTTGGGGTAATGGGTGACAAGTGTGATAGATGTCAGCCTGGCTTCCATTCTCTTACAGAAGCTGGATGCAGGTAAAAGTGACCTGATCCTATAAGTAAAGGTTAAGATGGAGAGATTGGTGGCTAGATGTGTGCAAACTCTTTTATTAGAGGATCAAACAATCCATGTTAGAACATTTGCACATCTCTGGTTCCAGTCTCTTGAAATGTGGTTTCTTCATTCTTCCCAGTGTTCCAACTAGACTTCTTTCTTCTTGTTCAGACGCTGCTCCTGCAATCCAGCTGGCAGCACAGATGAGTGCAATGTAGAAACAGGGCGTTGCACTTGTAAGGACAATGTGGAAGGGTTCAACTGTGAAAGGTAAAACAACGTCAGTGTGTGGAATCAAGTGCTGAACTGATTGTGTTCTTGTATCCTCCCTGCAAGCAATTCAAAGCAACCTACATGAAGATTATTCAGATGCTTTTGTTCAAAAATCCTGAGGTTGATCAAGCTAAGTGCTAACTGGATAGATCTACCTGGATACATCGAAAATCAAGATCCTCATCAACCCTTGTTCCATATTGTGGAGGAGGAAAATTTTGAATTGGGATTATTTTGGCTATTTGGAAATTTACTATTATTGGGGAAGTGATTGTTGGCAGATATGCCATCTTCCAGCTCAACCTGCCTAGATTTTTGCTATCCAACTTGCAGAAGTACAGCCCACTCAGAATTATGTGTCTGCTGCTTCTGGAAAAAAAAATGACTTTTGTAGCAGTAGGATTTGCTATAGAAAACATAAAGTGGATTCAGTTGATTGTGACAGATTCAGGTCATTAAGCATCCCTGTACTTGAGCATATCTGTAGAAATGCCTTCCTTCAGTGCATAGATATAGACAACACAAAGATATGCTCATTGTAGGTAAATCTCTATAATCCAAACTTCTTTTGTTTAGTGGTCAGAATGTCAGTGTAAATTCTGCCTTCTTTTATTTTCATCTCACAACATTTTCTCAGGGTGTTGGCTCTGATTTTAAATGAAGGGAAATGCTATAATATTTTAGCGTGAAATTCTGTCACTGGTGTGCATAATGTATTATAGATATGGCTTTTAGCCCAGCTTAAAGTCTTTCCTAAATATATGGATGCAAAAGCAGAAAAGACAGATTATGAATCTCAGTGTTTTCTTTTACTTTTAGATGTAAGCCTGGCTTTTTTAATCTGGATTCTGACAATCCTAGGGGATGTATTCCCTGTTTCTGTTTTGGACATTCCTCTGTTTGTACCAATGCCATTGGATACAGTACCTCCAAAATTACCTCCACCTTCCAAACGGGTAAGTTTAAACTTCAGTTTTTCTTGGATTAGATTATCATGCCCTGTAAACCATAATACTTTGAACACATTCATCAATTTATTTTCTTTTCAGCAGAAGAATTGATGTGCATTCAAAATATAACATGATATAACATACTTTGTGTTCCAGTAATAAAAATCAAGATACACTTGAAATCAATAAAATAAAATAGAATAAATCAATACAATAAAGTAGAGATTAGATCAAATTAACTTGCCTATGCTAACTTTAAATAAAGTCAGTTTGTTAAGCAATTAGGAGAATGAAACATGTAATTATACCGTAACAAGCTATAATCTTTTAAGTAGGTGTTATGTAATCAATTGTATTGTACAACTTCTAACTTTCAGCTTCAGTTGCTTCATAGCTTGACTCATAGTTGCCTGGTGTATAGCCGAGAACAGCTTTTTAAAAAAAATCTTTGCAATTCCGGAACTTTTTTAAATCAAAGTATAATAGCAAGTTTTGTTGTTGTTTTTCAGTTATTCAGTTGCTTCCAACTCTTAATCATTCAATGGGTATTAATTCATCAGGACTGTTAGCAATACTTGTTTGAATTCTTTTAAGGCCATGTTTATGTAACCATCTTCTTTTGCCATATTTTTCTAAGTGTCTTTCATTTTTCCAAGCATTGGAATCTTATTCAGGGACTCTTGCTTTCACATTATATTTCCAAACTATTTAAACTTAGCTTTATTATTCATTTTTTTAGTGAGCAGTCTAGTTTTACTTCCGCTAATATTGAGTGATTTGTTCTTTTTTCAATCCAAGGTATTCTCAAAATTTTCCTCCAGACCAATGCTCCAGTTCAGGAGCATCTGTTTTTCTTCATTCTGCCTTCATGCTGGTCCACCTTTCACAGCCATGGTTACAACTAGGGAAACTAGAGCCTTCACAATATTTACCCTTGTTGTCAGTGTGATGTCTTTACACTTTAATCATATGATGTCTAATTCTCTCAAAACTTTTCTTTCAAAGCGCTTGTCTCTCTTTTATGGTTATAGTCACCATTTCCATGAATTTCTGAGACTATGAGTTCAGATCTGCTTATTACTTCAGCTTCTTTTCTGCCTATGTCCATTTGGTTAGCATTGCCCATTAACATCTGAGGGCAGGTGTGTGTGTATTTTTGGTTAAAATTGAACAACAGACTAGCTTTGTGTTTTCTTCTTTCCTCTTCAGCAAGAGTTTAGTTGGGTCCTCGTCACTTTCTGCTATTAAAAGGATATATAGATGTTTCTCCCAGCAATTTTAATTCTGTTGTATGTTTCTCCTAATCAAATATTTCTCATGATATATTCTCTGTACAAGTTAAACAAACAAGACTGACAATTGGCAACCTTGGCACACTCTTTTTATCAGTGTGGAACTATTTAACCATTCCATATTTCATTCTAATGATTCCTTCCTGGTCAAGTAACCAATTCTTAAATAGCAGATGAGGTGGCCTGCTATCCCCTGAACCATCCCTAATTTGTTGTGATTTGCATAGTCAACAGCCTTAATGTAATTAGTAAAGCATCAAATAGATATTTTTTAAAACTTTTTTGTCCTATTCCTTATCCTTCGTATGTCACAATGTGATCTTGGCTGCCTCCGCTTCCATTAAACCCATCTTATCCATGTGGCAATTTTCATTTTATGAATTGTTGAAGTCTGGGTTGCAGCATTTTGAGCATGTGAGATAAGTGCAATTGTTGGGAACATTCTTTAGTATTGCTCTTTTGTTTTTAGCATATAAATGTTATCTTTTCCAGTCACACGGTCGCTTGTAGTGTTTTTTCCATATCTGCTTATCAACTAGCATAATTTTGCGAGATTTTAAACATTCTACCAGTATTTCGTCACCTCCTGAACATTTCTCCTGTGATTTCACTTTCCAGAATGTCAAGTGTTCAAACCTTTGTACATAGCATCATTTGGAGGATCTTTTTATATTAGGTCTTCCGCTGTCTCATCTCACTTTGTATCTTTCACCTAACAGCAGTGTTCTTTTTATTTTGTAGGCAGTAGTATCCATAAAGAGAACCAATTTGATATAGAGGTTAAAGTGCCAGACTAGAAACTGGAAGACCAGCTTGAGTCCTGCCTTAGACCTTGAGGATATAAATATTTCTTCAAGTAGCAACGAGAAAATCAAATAACTTAAAATTATTTTCAGAATTCCATTCTCTTCTTTTCAGAGAAAATTGATATACTGAATAGCAACCTGTGGAGAATGATTAGAGAGGAAGAAATGGCAGGTCTATGCTGACTGAAAAAAGACAGTTTGGTGTAGTGGCTAAGATGTCAGGGTAGAAAGCAGGAGATTGTGAGTTCTAGTTCCACCTTAGGCACAAAGCCAGCTGAGTGACATTAGACTCTCTCTCAGTTGAATGAGGAGGCAATGGCAAACTATTTCTGAAATCCTACCAAGAAAACTGCAAGGACTTTCCCAGACTGTCCCCAGGAGTAAGACTGACTTGAAGGCACACACTCATACAAAAGTATTCATGTAATACCAGATGTATTTCTTTATATTGTCCATTATAAGTACTGAATAGGGCAGTGGTGGCGAACCTTTTAGAGACCGAGTGCCCAAACTGCAACCCAAAACCCACTTATGTATCGCAAAGTGCCAACATGGCAATTTAATCTGAATACTGAGGTTTTAGTTTAGAAAAAACAACTCATACATTAACATCTTTTGTCTTAAAAGAAAAACACAATAACAAAGCTTTCAATGATACAAACAACTTTTTACTGAAAGGTAAAAATTTGCATTTGGCATGCTTTTGAATAATTAATGTGATTTTTGCTGTTGTATGCATGCTGATAATTTGTCTAACCTTGGCTTATACTTTGTAAGTTTGAGAGCAACACATGCAGCACTCAGGTCATCTGTTAGTCTGTTTCTGGTGTCGGATTTGATATAACTCAAAGCTGAGAACAGCGCGCTCGCTCCGGAGGCTTGTTTTGGCTAGGGAGGGGCTTGAGAAATGGCTTTTTCCTGTGAAAACATAGTCAAGGAGCGAGGCACGTGTGCCCACAGAGAGGGCTCCGAGTGCCCCCTCTGGCACGCGTGCCATAGGTTCGCCACCACTGGAATAGGGAAAAGTGTACGATCAGTTGATATCTTGATGAGTTCTCTCAAGAAACAAATTGTTGTTTTAACCCTTACCCATCATACCATTAGGCATGCATTCTTCACTCCACTCAGCATTATATGCTGCTAAATTAGGCAACTTTATTATAGAGTCAGCTGCCTTTGAAAATATTAAATAGTGCTCCTCTGAGACTATTGCGGCCTTGAGATTACAAACACTGACTCCCCTTAGCTTTACAGTTGTTGCAGCAGTTGTTGCATGTTTATGATGTGAACATTTGTTCAGGCATTGTGATAACCATCAATTATGACAGAGGTTCTTAACTTTTTTCAGGCCATAGAAGTTGTCAATTTAAAAATAGTCCTGGAACCTTTGATCAAGAAGCAAATTCCAGTTATTGAAAATCATGTTTATTTATTTAACTCTTTATTTAGCCCTAGGTTTCCATGAAACACAGTTTGAAAAACTCTATATTAAGCCACGTACCTCTCTCACACAATCCAGTCTGCACGACAGATAAAACAAACCCAAAATCAGATGTGTTTGTAAAGTCAAGCTCTGTTTTGATTTGTTGCTCCCAGATTAGCATAGGATTAGTTATTGGTTCATGAGTTTTGCTATCTGGTAAAACTTTTAATTTTGGAGTGGGTTTATCTGCTGTAGGTAAGAAGCAAAGTAAGAGAAGATGAATTGCATGAAATAATATACTGAACATGTGTAACCAATAAGCATAAGCCAATAGTTCTGCTCATAACTTGCAAATGGTGTGATTGGAAAAGAGTGGAAAAATGGAAATTGTAGCTACTTCATTGTACATATATAAAATTGTGGTTGATCAAATGATCAATAATAGTCCATTGACTAGACACGTTGATATTTTCTTTTCATTGCTACTTTGTGAGCAGAGATAATTTCAACATTTGTGAAGGAGACAAAAATACCAGATGGCTGAATTAGACCTGTTCTGCTCCAATTTACACTTAATAACCCAAGATTTTTATTTATTTATTCATTCATTTATCAGATTTAGAGACCACCCATCTCACTCACAGAGCAACTCTGGGCAAGTCTCTAAATATGATAAATAAACTCTTGTGGATAAAATCAAGTCTACTATCTATTCTTACCAGTTTAATAACACACACACTGGCAATTTCTATAATCCCTAAAGCAGGATTTTTCTCACTACATGGCTTGTGTAATAGACAGTTTTCAATCAGTGTTGAAATCTGTTTCCTTTTCATGATAGAATTCACAAAGCAAGTGGATATTCAAGTTATTTCTTAAACATATTAAGTAGAGCGAATTCAACTTTTAACACAAGATGGTTTCTTCTTGTGGCTTTCAGGAAAGGAAAACTGGCATGCAGAACAGAGAGATGGCTCTGAAATCTCCATTCGCTGGATACCTGAGACTCAAGACATATCCGTAATCTCAGATACACCTTTCCCCATCTACTTCATTGCACCAGGTACAAAGGAAGAATGATTATTTATACTCATTGACCGTGTGATAGGGCCATTCGTCAATGAGTAAGAAACTAGGTTAGCAAGGTTTATAAAAGATCTCTCCACCCCCAACACTTTACTCTGAAGACGCTGACAGTGGATCAGCGAAAGCTAAGTTTGTTTTCGTATTGTAAATAGTTGCTTTTATTGTTTTAATTTTTTTAACAATAAACAGCTGATTTATATTCCTCCCGGAGTTCGAGGATTGTATATTATTGAACAGATATGCCTGGGATTCGGATTTTTACAGTCATTAAGGACATAGACTATATAAGTATGTTTGCCAAGTATGTTATTTGAACATGGGTTTTGTTGCTTTTGTCTTAGGCAAATTCCTTGGAAATCAAATGCTAAGTTACGGGCAAAATCTGTCATTCTCTTTTCGGGTCGATAAGCGGGACACTCGCCTGTCTGCTGAGGACATAGTCCTTGAAGGTGCTGGACTAAGAGTATCTATACCTTTGATTGCTCAAGGCAACTCCTATCCCAGCGAGAACATTCTGAAATATTCATTCAGGTAAAGGTGTCTGTATTTTCTAACCTGGAAAATGTCAGGGCTGCCTGGAGGAAAAGATTCTGGTTAAAGCTCTTTATTTGCACAGCTTAAAATATTAGAACAAATTACTATAAATGAAATATTTCTTTATCTTAAATTGTCAAGGCATAGTGCAAAAGGAATGATTTTGATAAGTCCTTGGGGAATTAGAAGTTACTAAAATCTGTTATTTTGAAAAAAAAATACCAAATTGTAGTTCTTTAACTGCAGTTTTTAGAGATGCAACTCTTATCATCTTTTGCTCTGTGATAGTAATAATGTGGCAGAGAACACTATATTGAAATATTTATTTTCTTCTATACTTGAGAGGACAACTGATTTTATGATGGATTTAATGGTTATGTTAAGATTTTATTTTTAAAAATACTTGGGGCAGAACACCCTTCCCCCCGAATCAATTAATTATGTACAGCAGGGAGTGGAGAGTGCTACAACCCAGCCAAAACTAAGCACTTTACACTCTCATTAACTTTAATAGAGGATAAATAATATTTGCTATTGGTCTGCTGGTTTTAAAGCCATGCTGCTCTAAGCATTTAACTATCACTGAGTTTTCAGCTGAACATTCTATTAAAATCTTAAGTCCAGCAATTCAGCATTTCTTTTTAAGTTGATTGAAGCTTCAAATCAGTAAGGTTAGATGTGCAGGAGGGCTCTATGAGTGATATAGTTGAAAGCAGCAGTTGCAAATTGATAGTTAGGAAGCAGCCTTTATCTTGATTTTCCTCATCCTCCCTCCCCCCCCCTCCCACACACCACACACTATATGTGCTTTTAGCTGATCTCCCATCTAAGCAGTTTATATGAAAAAACCAGCTTGGTTTCAACAGTAAACTCAAGCATCTTTCTCTAGCTAGTCTCTTTCCTGTGCATAATTTTCTGTCCTATCCTGTCCTGGACATTGGAATGACTTTAGATGGGCTTGCTGGAAAGCATGGTCCCAGAAGGCAGGTTTTGCAGGCTGAAAGCAAACCATTAAAACAGAAGTAGACAACTCCAGGCCCCAGAACTACGTGTGTCTGTCTGTTTTAGAGTTTCCTTCATACAGAATTGCTAAAAATTGAAGGCATGTTTTCCTGCCCCTTTGAGCAAAAATAATGTATGAGTAATATAATTTCAATTCCACCCATCTGCAACTAAAAAATAATAATACTGACGCTACTTATGTCTGTGACATGACCTTATCTCCTTTGCATCTCTGCCACTCTTGTTATGGTCCCCATTATTTCTTTCCTCTCCCAAAAGGTTAAGAGTGGTTGATCAGGCTTGCATTAAAGGTATCTTAACATCCTAGTCCTAGGGAATGGGTGAGGAGTAAGTAATACACGATACATGCAGAAGTCTTGTTCAGACTCGAATGTACCTTCTGTCTGTTTCCTAACCAGCAGAGAGGGGAACTGTTTTTAGTTGATGGATTAAGAAGTGAAGCAAAATACCCCTGCCCTTACAAAGTATAGCCTACAATAGATTTGTTTATGACCATGTTGTTGGGTAGGTAATGGGTCCTCTGTTCAGATGACTAACTACCGTGTTTTCCCGAAAATAAGACCCAACCAGAAAGTAAGCCCTAGCGTGATTTTTCGGGACGCTCGTAATATAAGCCCCACCCCCAAAATAAGCCCCACTTAAGATTGTCAGCATTTAGTACCGTATTTCCCTGAATATTAGCCCTAACTGGAAAATAAGCCCTAATGCGTCTTTCAGAGCAAAATTAATATAAGCCACGGTCTTATTTTTGGGGAAACACGGTAGCAGTGGCTGTTTCCTATGTTTTAACTTGTGTTAGTCTGAAGTGCAAATGCGGGAAGTGATTGGGAAGTTGTGAATGTTTACTTGCCCGAGGACAGGGGAAGAAAAAGGCAAACTCATGTGGACTTTTTTTTTTATTGAACCCTAGCAGAAGAGAGAGATGCTGATACCCAATAATATAGGGCAAATCTTATTTAAAAGCAGACATTTCCACCACTCAAGTTAATTCTTTGGCATTTAAAACGGTTTCAATGTTACTTCCCTTTAGGCTCCATGAAGCAACAGATTACCCCTGGAGGCCTTCTCTCACTCCCTTTGAATTCCAAAAGTTGCTCCATAACTTAACAGCTATCAAGATTCGTGGGACTTACAGTGAGAGAAGTAAGTTGGTGATAATTGCTGAAATCAAACTGAATGAATGTCAAGAAATACCTTTCTTTGCAGTTGCACCTACTTTACAGAATTCTTGGAATGTTTGTAGTGTTTCTTGCAATGTTTTGTTGCACGACAAAACCATTTTGTTCAAACAAGTCTTTGCTTTAATCAGAAAGATGGATCTTGATTAGTTGGTTTTATGTTCCATGCCTGTTTCTTTTCTTTTTTTTTAAAAAAAAATATTGTAGTGTTAACTATTTTATTGCATAAATGGTGGCCCCACTCATTTATGGTACAATTTTCAACACACAAAGCCCAAAGGGGTCATTAGACTGAGAGAATGTGCATCCCTATCTTAGAGCATTCCTTGATTACAATCCTTCTAACCATTTCATAAAATTGGTCATACTAATATCTCCACATTGAAGAGTTGGGGTATTAGAATTTTTCACTTTTTCCTTACGATGCCATCCCACTTCATCCCTGAAAGTTTGCAGTTTGAAGGAGCTCAATATACATACTAGCTTGCCACCTATACCCAAAATACAAAACTTATCTGGGGCTTCTTAAATCAGGGTGATGAAGAGGTTGCCAAAAATATAGCACATGCACATATAGTTGCATTAAAGGACTCCACATACCTAAGGAGGAAATGACTTCACTCAAGGGAGAACAGAGAGATTCTGATATGGTTTATTTACATTCTTCTATTGTTAACATGTAGGCTCACCTAGGGTTGTGGCTGGAGCTACCACTCCAGAGATAAACAATTTTACATCAACAGCCAGCACCATAGAAGTTGTGGTGTACGTGAGGCACAGCTGTTCTTCAAGCTGTTCTGAGGCAGCAGTTACAGGGCAAGCCCAGTTTTGAGGAGGGAATCCAGTGCTGGTTGGGTTGAAAGCTAAGAGAGAAGGGGGAAGGAAATGCTCTTTTTTCTAAAATGCCTGGTTTTGCTGAACTTCCTCAAAGTGGAACATTAATTCAGCCCTGAAATACCAATCCATCTGTCAATCTGTAAAGGTGGGAGTTGTTCCAGGTTTTTTTTCCCTGAGGATATATGCAGAAGGAATGGTGTGTGTAAATAAGTTTCTTGCATTCCTTACCCACCCATGCTTTTACAGGGAGAACGTTTGGCTGGTTGCCACACCTGTGTGCCTCTCAGCCTTTACTGTACAAAGGCAAGACATCGGCCCACATTGGTATCTTGACATCATGGCTAGGCCCTGGTCTTAAAGTAATACTAACTCCTTGAACACCTTGCTTACAAATTAGGAACCAGATAAATAATTGGTTATGGGTTGGCAAAATGTTGTAATCCTTGGTTTTATCGTGTGCTACCCAAAGTCACTTCAGGTGAGATGGACAGCGTCTTACAAATAAAAGAAAATGTGCCCTATGCCCTTAACTTAATAACTCTTCTTTCCTTTCTAATTATAATTATACTGTGAATTTTTTAAAAAAATATAATAGAATATTCCATAATCTTTTATTTAAAACTATAGATTGGGATGGATTGATAAGTCTTGATTGATTATGAGGGGAGCCAGCATCATAATTCCCTTTTGTTGCTATCTAAGGCAAAACCTGGAGCCTGGCTCCAGGCCAAGAAATTATTATAGCATGTGGTTCATTTGTTAGAAAATAACCTTTGCCTGGGTGTTAATGCTCAAATATTAATAAGTTCACAAAATGTCTTGGATGGAAGTATATCACTGTGTTGAATGGGAACTAAGCGAATCTCCTCAAATCCTTTTTCTAAGGCAACAGACTACACTGGTTAGTTAACACATTGAAGCAGCACGTTAGAGTAGCACATTTGGCAGAGTGCAAGCATGACCTGTAAATCCAATGTTTTAACAATCAAAAAGACCCCCAATGATTTTTTTATTCAGTATTTTTGCCATGCAACTTTTTGACCAATGCGGAAGATACATTTTGACATGCAACCCCAATCATCTCTAATTCTGACACAATGAAGAACAAAGGAGTCAAAGTATTAGGAATGCACAATTATTCCTTGGGGTCTTAGAAACGAGTTTTACTTGATGCTGGATAAATGTACTTGATGCTTTAAATTATGACAGAAGTGTTGTTCTATGATTGTATTTTATTGTGTTGTGTGCACATGTGCATGTTTAAACACTCTGTTTATGTTGCTAAGATTATAAATCACTGGGAATCCTGGATTCTTAAGACATAGAAATGAGACATACCGTATATCTCATAGAAATGAGATATACCAACCAATTGGGGGGCTTATGTCAAGTTGAAACCCACAAGACAGACTCTCTGCTCCCCTCCCAGATATCAATTTAAAAATATGGGAGAAAATGCTATGAATAGTAAAAGAAGGTTATTGGTGGCACTTGAGATGTTGCTTCATGGAACTCTTTTCTCTTCTTCCATATCAGCCAGTTAGAAAACAATGCGGATGGGAAAGCTAGTAGAAAAAAATAACTTGTGGCTATGGCTGGAAACTCTGAACAAATCCAGTTCTGTAGGTTTGTGTGTCTTGCCTGGAAGCAGTGGAGCTGCTTTACTGTGTTATGGAGGCTGTCAACAACTTCTGTACATCTTACTCATCTTGATGACTTTTCTTTTCTTTTCTTCAGGTGCTGGGTATTTGGATGATGTTACTATCGTGAGCGCTCACCCTGGGTCTGGAACACCAGCAACTTGGGTGGAGAATTGTGTGTGTCCAGCAGGATACTTGGGGCAGTTCTGTGAATTCTGTGCCCAGGGCTACAGAAGGGAGACTCCAAATCTCGGACCCTATAGTCCTTGTGTGCCATGTTTCTGCAATGGCCACAGTGAAACCTGCAACCCTGAATCTGGTAAAAAGAATCATGGGGGATACTGTTGGTGTTAGGCTTTGTTTGCTCTTTGATGTCTTGGATGTAATTATTATCTAGGTCAGTGTTTCTCAACCTTGATAACTTAAAGATAAATGGACTTCAACTGGTGGGGGAACTCTGGGAGTTGAAGTCCACACATCTTCAAGTTGCCAAGGTTGAGAAATATTGACCTAGTCCTAGACCAGTGATGGTGAACCTTTTAGAGACCGAGTGCCCAAAAACTGGCCCCGCCCCATTCTACCCCCTGCCCGCCCCTGCTCCACCCCCACCCCATCCCCTGCCCCGCCTGCCCACAGGGCCACTCACCGCCTCCAGGACCCGCCGCAGATCGCCCAGGCAGCCCAGCAGCACCATGGCAGCCACACCCTCTGCCCGCCTCCCCGCAGCATCAACTGTGCGCGATGGGGCATGAAAGCAGAGTCTTTACGCTGCCTGGCTGCCATGTCTTTGGCTGCGCTGCTTCGCGTGGGCCATGCTCGGGGGCGACTCTCCTCCAGGAGGGCTGCTGGTGGGGTCGCGGGGGAGGCGAGGCTGGGGCAATGGCATGTGTGCCCACAGAGAGGGCTCCGAGTGCCACCTGTGGCATGCATGCCATAGGTTTGCCACCACTGTCCTAGACTATCACCTTAAATGAATGCCCTACTAATCTAATATTCTTTATTTTAGTATGTAAATGTCATGTTCCATTCTTTTTACGCATAAAAGCATGTTGTTTTATCTACTCCTTTCCTTTGTCTGCCTCTAAAACAGAATATTGTGCGACCTCAGAAGAATCTCTGAGTGTGAATAGCTGCCCGAGTGTTTCAGCCTCTGGATGACAAGCTTTCTTCTCTTTACCCCCAGGAGCATGTGACTGCAGAGATAACACTGCAGGTCCTCACTGTGAGAAGTGCAGTGATGGTTACTATGGTGATGCCACCACAGCCACCTCCTCAGATTGCCAGCCATGTCCATGCCCCGGGGGCTCAAGCTGTGCTGTAGTTCCCAAGACCAAGGAAGTGGTCTGTACCAGTTGTCCAGCTGGAACCACAGGTATGCTCTTGTTGAGTTCTCATTATGAAGGCACAGCTTTGGCAATCTCTGTTGCACTGCTGGATAGAGGAGTAATTGAGAGTGGGGATACAAAGAGAAAGTAGTCTTATGAATTTGTTCTATGTTTTTTTTCAGCAAATTTTTCCAAAATTCAACCATACTGAATCTCATTTTTATGCAACAAACAAGCAAAGGAGAATTATTTGAGTAATGATGGGAATGGCAATATCTGGATCGATCATTCTGGAAATGCAATTCCTATGACAGCCCTGGAGCTAGGGCAATCATCTGGACCAAAAACATAAACATAGGAGCTTTGCCCAGTTTCTTTAGGCAATCCTAACTCAAATTACTGGATGAGGCAGTGTCGTTAATAACAACTCTTCCTTCCTTCCTTCCTTCCTTCCTTCCTTCCTTCCTTCCTTCCTTCCTTCCTTCCTTCCTTCCTTCCTTCCTTCCTTCCTTCCTTCCTTCCTTCCTTCCTTCCCTCCCTCCCTCCCTCAGGGCAAAGAATTTATTTCCCCAGCAGAATTTCATACTTGACCCTGGTTACCCGTTCAGTACAGAAATCAACCTTCGGCCCATTAAAATGAAAAAGCTCAGTTTCAAAAACATGTATGGCAGGTTTCCAGGAAAGCATAAGAAAAATAGCATTTTAAAAATGGGCTCAGTAAATGCTTGGACCCATTCACCATTACAGCTGGTGGAAGAAATTACACTCCTTTTTCCTTTTTTTATATTTTTTATGACTGAACAATGTCAGAATTGACCCCAAGGAATAAAGAAATTGGCCAATCTTGGCAAATGTGTCACTCTTGGAGGAGGCAGCTTTCAGATGGTTGCACAGAGTGTCTGTCCATGACCCAACTTGTCTGAGTGGTAAAAGTAAATACAAAATAAACTTTGCTGTGCATTTCTGAATGCTGGATTTATTGAGGGTGTGCACAGTGTTCTTTATTTTTTTCCCCTTATCAGTCTGAACAGCCGTGCTTCAGGCCTAAATCCTGATTTCTCTGAAGGCACTTTGTTTCTCTTTTTTTATCTCTCCTATCAATTGATTGCTACGGTAGATAACCTAACCTAGAAGCTATGGATTTTATAGAACGGTGGCATTCAGAGCTTAGCGCATGCTTACACTTTTCAAAACTTTAAATGGGTGATCTCAGTCTATAAATGATCCCGTTTTGTATAGGAACCCTATGCACTTACTGTAAAGAAAACCTTTTTAAAAAGTGGAAAAATCCATGTAACCTAATGCATATTTGGAAGCTATTAGGATAAATATTCTATGATGTAAAACAGCGGCTCCCAAACTTTTGGGTACCAGGGACCGTTTCGGTGGAGAAGGGTTTTTTCACTGACCGGAGGGGGTGTCATTTTGTGTGCTGCCTGCATTCCATGGACAGGGCTTTGCTTGTTTGCATGGCCCAGTTTCTGACACACTGCAGACCAGTGCCGGTCCACAGACCGGGGGTTAGGGACTCCTGATGTAGAGCAAAAAGCATCCTACTAAATATATGATAAATTGCTTCTCCTTTTATGTACTTATTCCCGAAAGATTTTTGCTTCCCTCTTAGATTATAAAATGAATTGTGCTTTTCCCTCTTAATGTTGCTATTAAGTCTTGTTTCTTATATCCCAGCTTTCCCCAAATTTGACACTTTTCCAACTACCCAAATTATCAGCAGTAGCTCTGCTAGCTCAGAAATTCTAGAAGTTGAGGTCTGCACATTTGGAGAATGCCCAGGTTGGGGAAAGGTTGTTTAAGGAAGTTCCTTTGAAACTTTACTGAATTGTGTTGTTAAACTCTGATTTCCATTTAGCCTTTGAGCTTTCCATTCTTCTAATGTTTCTTCTTGTCAGATGATGGTTTATGTTCTTTTTGCCTTTTCTTTGTTTTTGCTCTGCTACTTATGTCTGGAATTTGTTACCAGCTATAGCTTGGTCAAAGTAAGTACACTCCCATTTTCAAACAGCAATAAATTTATTGGTTGTTCTATGCAGCTTCTGCATGTCACTTGAAGTCCATATCGCATGTCAGTCTATCATTCCCGTCTCTTCCCTTCCCTTCCCGTTATCAATAAGAATAGTTTTTAAAAGAAACTTTCTGTATTTCTGTATTTTATTACTCAGCGTTTCCTTCTATTTCTTTTTGCCATCACCATCACCATCTTCAGACCAATAAACACAGATACAAAACTTAAAATACAGGGAAATCAAATTTGAACCAATTAATAATGAAAAGAAGATGCCAACTAATTATTGCAAGAGATACTGTAGCTATTGCTAGAAAATGGGCAACCTATCTAATGGCTGCCCAAGTTAAGTCCTGTTAAAAAAAGGTTGCAATGTAGTCATTTCATGAAACTACAGAGGAGAGTTTTTATGTCTGGACTGCCTCAAGGTCATTTTTGGTGCTTTGCAGTGGGTGTTTTAATAATTGGAGCATTATTTCCAAAGCGTCTGGTTAAAATATTGTATTTATGAATGGAAAATGTAATCCTTATTTCCTAAGTCTTTTCATTGGCTTTGGACAAGCTTCTTTCTTCTCTTCCTTTGTTGTTGTTATAACTGGTGTATTACTGGTAAGCCAAATTGCGCTTCTGTCTCTGTACAAAAAGATCTGAATAACAAACGAGCAGGTCTTGGGAAAGATTCCTTCAGGGTTCTAGTCATTCATAGAATATAGAATCATAGGTCTGGAAGGGACTTGAAAGGTCTTCTAATCCAACTGACACTACGTCTGTGTCAGGGCCTTGTTGTCATCTTCTGTTTCACTTTTTTGCCACAGTACATAATGCCTCTTAAGGATGCTGAGCCCTCATTGAGCTGTATTTTTAATGAGCAAGCTGATTTATTGGGTTTTTCAATTACAGGTAGTCCTTGATTTACAACAGTTCATTTAGTGATCATTCAAAGTTACAAAAGCACTGGAAAAAAAGTGACCGATGACCATTTTTCACACTTTGCATTGCATCATCTCCATGGTCATGTGATCAATTTCAGACACTCGGCAACTGACTCATATTTATGACTGTTGGAGTGTCCTGGGTTCATGTGATCAACTTTTGCGACCTTTTGAACAAAAGTCAATGGGGTAGATTTTCTTAACCCTTATACTAATTTAACAACTGCAGTGATTCACTTAACAACTGTGGCAAGAAAGGTCATAAAATGGGACTTAACAACTGTCTCACTTAGCAACATAAATTTTGGGCTCAATTGTGGTCGTAAGTCAAGGACTACCTGTACTGTTTCTGGAAGCCTCGGCATTCATTCCTTGAAGTCTGTCCTTTTCAGTGAGCCTATATTGACTACAGTTCTGTAAGCATTTATCCCCTGATTTCACTGTTGGGACTGAAAAATTGAAGTTTTCCATAATTTCTCAGCTACTTTCCTGCCTTACCCATTTTTTACATGGATTACAGTATTTTTATTTTTTTTGCATGTTCTAATATACCTGTTTCCTGGGCCTGCAGGTAAAAGGTGTGAGCTGTGTGATGATGGTTATTTTGGAGACCCTCTTGGCCAAAATGGCCCCATCAGGCCCTGCCGCCTCTGCCAATGCAGTGACAACATTGATCCCAATGCAGTTGGCAATTGCAACCGCTTGACAGGAGAATGTTTGAAGTGCATTTATAACACAGCTGGTTTCTACTGTGACCGATGCAAAGATGGCTTCTTTGGGAATCCCTTAGCTCAGAATCCAGAGGATAAGTGCAAAGGTAGGTGGATTTTTCTCAGTTAGTAATGCTTTTGTCACAGTCCAATGATCTTCTAGGACATCAGTCTGCCCCTTTCAGCAGGAGGAAAGCTCTTCCCCCCCCAAAAAAAATATTTGGCCAGGGGACCAGCTGGGAAACACTTCTCAGTACTTTCAGCAGCTGTTGTATCTTCTGCCTCTGTAACTTAACAGAAGATTTGACATGTGCTTTCTTGCCTTAGAACCAGTATCTTAAGAGCAAGCGAAGACCTTCCTTCAGAAGCTGCTCTCATAGAACTATGCTTACATAAATTGTCTATCTAGCACATCTGTAGGGTTTGCACAGAAGCTTTGGTGGAATCTGAGTCTACTGAATGAAAGATAGTTCCTTTACCCTTCCTCATAGAATTTGGTTTCCTCACCGTCTTGGTAGCTTTCCTCTAAATGAATTAGTATTAGAATCTAATGTTAATGTAAAGGAGCAAATATAATAAAATAAAGAACAATCCTCTTAACTTTTCTTTTGAGGCACCTTTCAATATTTGAAATACCTCACACAGAAAATTGACCACTAGAAAGATGTCTGTTACACCCTGAAAGTAGTCTAAAATCCTCATCTGTCCATCAACCAATGCCTGCAGAAACTTTTGGAACTTGGAGGAGAGTGGAGGATTCATTTATTCCATCCAAATGCTTGACCAAAGTGGGCTTATGTTTGCCAACTTGTGTATTTATACATTGTTTGTGATGTGATCGGAAGAAATGGTTCCCCCACCCCATACCTGGAGGAGCACTTGGTTTATAATTTGTGCCAAGTATTCTTTCTTTCTCGCTTATCCCACTGAGATGCATTGCAATATGTAGGCACATATTTGATGAGCAAAAAGACTAAAAACTAAATTGGAGCCTCTACATTTCCTTTGCCTAATGACCCTCTTGGACTCAAAAGGGTTCCTATTTTTGAAGCGTGAAAATGGGAATCGCAGTGCCCCCTAGGCTTCCTGCAATTGTCCTCTGAATTACTTCTGGTTGGAAATCCCATCCTGATGCCTTTCATGCTTTTATTCTTGCAGCTTGCAATTGTAATCCTTACGGCACAGCAAATTTACAGAGAAGCTGCAATCAAGTAACAGGCCAGTGTGAATGCCTTTCACATGTCACAGAGAGGGACTGCAGCTCCTGCGAACCAGGTTTCTACAACCTGCAAAGTGGGCGTGGCTGTGAAAGGTGAGCTCTTCTTTCCTGATGCTGGAAATTGAGTACTGGTGGCCTGGGGGATGGGACAGCATCAGCCAGGTTTCCCAAGAGTAGAGGCGCTTTCGTTAAAACCAGCTATGAAAATTGACTTTTAAAGAAAGCCATCAGTCTCCCCTGTGACCATTTATGCTTTGCACGCCTTCCTAAAATAATGATATTGCCCTACCTTTTCTGAAATGAAGCCTCAATACATGAAATTATGTTTGTGCACTTTCTTCCCCAGTTATTTCTGCTTCTCCTGCCACTGGTGCATTTTAAACTGTTAATCCCATAAAGCAGAGATCTTTTGTGATTGCTATTGTGTGTAGCACTTTCAACTGAGCAGCGTGCAAACATAAGATAGTTGCTGTGGCCGTTGACTATTGATTTATTTTTGTTGTTGGATCTTCCCATTAGTCTGCAGCAGATGGCAGCACCTAGCCAACCTTGATGTTCTCTAAAAGCTAAGCAGGGTTCAGTGTGGCTAATACTTGAATGGGAAGCTAGATTGAATAGCAAGGGGGTAGGATGGATCAGGAGATGAAAAAGCATCCCAAAACATAGTAGGAAACTCCTTTCTTGAGAAAACTGCATGGACATCAACATCCCCAGAAGTTGAAGTCTGTTTGAGGAGTCTTCGTCTTTACCTTACTTCACTTTAAGACAACGCAAATCATTTAAAAGGAAAAGAACAGAAAGCAAACTATTCTTTAAGGACAGAGAAACTTTCAACATTAAAGCGGGGGCAGAGGAACCGATCTGAGAATTTAGTTTCTTAGAGGCTACTTCTTTTCGATTTTTAAATGCTGGCTTCAGAAAGGGAGACCTGTGGGGATCTGGCAATCTGTCCTCACTCCCTGATGTCTTTCAGAACCTGTATCCAATCTAACCATCCCTGGAGTCCATGTATCTGGCTTTGTCAAATAAAGAGTGGAAATATCAACAAACATCAGGCTTTCTCATTTATTTATTGCAGCTACAGCGGTCAGACTGTCCTGTTTGCAAAGGACCAGAGCCAAAAGCAGTTTTAGATTTTATTATATAACTAGGAAGTTACATTATCTGTGTCAATTTTCAAGTTTAGATAATGTTTCTGAAGGGTTGTATATGAAGCATAAAACTTTGGACTAAAATGAAGGATAGGAAAATTCAAATTTCATGCCAAACAAGCTTTCAAAATTCTGTCAAGCCTTAGAAGATACTAAGAGTTAGTTCAAATACAGATAGTCTTTGACTTACAACCATAAATCATGACATCATAAATCAAGGCATCCATGCAGCTGGATCTGATTTTATGACTTTTTTTGCACTGATTGTATCATTGGACATATCACGGTCATGTGACCGCTGAATACTGCAACTGGCCATAAAGGTGAGATTTTGCAATGAGCCAAAAATGCAGTCAGGTGAACATTGGGGTGTACTGTATGCAGCTATTGGAATTCCAGAACCAGGTCATAAGTAGCTTTTTTGGGGGGAGGGGACTCCCTTGTAACTTCAAAAGCGAGAACTACCTATATATTGTTCTTATTTTATTTTATAATAGGCACTTTGTGTTAAAACCATTTGATTGACTCTTAAATTTAAATGTAAAAGTCTTCATTGTTCCTCAAATACTGCATTACTGAAACTGGTTTAATTCACAGAAAGTAGGTATTTTCTAATTGGAGCTTTATTGTGAGTGCTGCATTCCCTTTTGACCAATTGTGTAATAGGCAAATGACATCTGTCTTTCATCCCATACTTTCATCCCTTTGGGCAACGTGTTTTGTTTTTTATGACATATTAGTCAAATCAGAACACGACAAGCGTATGCAGTCTTGTTTCCTTACCTGTGTCCCTTGTTGTTGAAATGTATGCATTGTTCTTCCTCTACTAGATGTAACTGCCATCCTCTGGGCTCCACTAATGGCCACTGTGACATTCAGACCGGGCAATGCGAGTGCCAGCCAGGCGTTACCGGCCAGCGTTGTGAGAGGTGTGAAGCCAACCATTTTGGATTTGGTCCTGAAGGCTGCAAACGTAAGGGGAGTGGGGAAGACGCATTTCCTGTCCCAATCCTTCCTCATCCATTTGTTTTCCATCTCTGTTGCTCTGTCTGGAGAATCTGTTTATTGCCATTAGTGTTTCCTTAGACTTGGACACCACAAGAGGTTTAATTCCCCCCCTCTCCCTTTTGTCTGCCTCTTGCATGTTTTCTCATTTTAAGTCCAGCAAGGATGTTTTTGCAGTTATATGAGTCTTGCTTTTTGTCTCTAGGGCATTCAGATTGCATATACTGGTAGACCATCTGCTGCTTCTTGTCATAAACACTTGCCCTGAATTTTGTCCCAGAACTGACCTGTTTTTTGGCTCTTACACTCCTACGCTGTTGCTGCGGAATGTGGCCTTTAGCTACTAACTCGGATTGAGAACATGGAAAGTGTAAAATTTAGGGCATACATTCCTGTTTATTTAATCCTCACCGTTTCCTTACTTTAAAAAAAAATAAATTAGTCTTGGATGAATAGATCTACTGCATATATAACACTAACTTTGGCTTTAGGAGTTGGCTTTGGGAATGCCAAGTGCTTTCTCTTTTGTCATCTACAAAATAATTACCCTACTTCCTTTTTCTCCTTTTGAGGAGTTACCATTGTTCTGTGTCATAAACTTATTGATGCAAAACTGTAATGGCAGTTTGAAATGTTGTTGGGATACAGCTTGGTGTCATCTGATGCAAAATGGGAAGAGGGAAAACTAATCGAAGCATATTCTTTTGAGTCTAAGTCACATACCCTGGTTTGCAAGTGGAACTGGTATTTGGACCAATACTATAAATTACAGCAATAACAAATATAACTTTGAATGTGAACATTATTTTATACGACAAAAATGTAGAGCAAACATTTGCTTTTGTCAGACCATAATTGAGCCCAGAATTTCCATTGCTAAGCAAGGCAGTTGTTAACTGAGTTTTATGCCATAGTTGTTCAGCAAATCACTGCAGTTGTTAAGTGAATGACGTTGTTAAGCAAATCTGGCTTCCCTATTGACTTTGCTTGGCACTAAAAAAAGGGATCTTATGACCATTTTTCACACGTGATTTACATTCAGATGCTTGGCAAGTGGTTCATATTTACGACGGTTGCAACGTCCCAGGGTCATGCGATCCCCTTTTGCGAACGTCTGACCAGCAATATCAGTGGGGAAGCCTGATTCACTTAACAACCGTGTGACTGATCTAACAACTTCAGCAATTCGCTTAACAACTGTGGCAAGAAAGGTCATCAAATGGGGCAAAACTCGGTTAACAACTGTCTCACTTAGCAAGAGAAATTTTGGACTCAGTGGTGGTTGTAAGTCGAGGACTATCTGTATAAGTAGCTCAGTTTGTTAAATTTCTTCAAACGCAGTGCCTTAAAGGTGCAAAACCATTATGAATCTTGCATGTCTGACTACCAGATATATAGATAGAGATGTAGATATGTTTGAAAATCACTGAGAGGCACGCCCTAACTGAGGCTAGGTGGGACAGGTATGACGCATTGAATCAGACTATTTACAGATACATTTGCTGCATCATTGTTTTTTAATAGTAAAGTAACACATGGTAAGTCTATATTCATGATAGAATGGTGAATCAGACAGGATAAAAAAATGAGCCACCAGGGTTAGACAGGATCCCTCACTGCTTGTTATTTTCTTGGCATGTCATACGGAAGACTTCTTCAACTGTATTTCCGCAAGATGTTTTAGGACAGCAACTGCTACAAAGTGCAAACTAGCAAACTAGTCTGGATGGAAATTTTGGGAGTTCCTGTCCCAAAGCTGTTTTTGGGCAGGATGATATAATAAACCTCCCCTTCATGTGAGTACAGGTAGTCCTCCACTTACAACAGTTCATTTAGTGGCCGTTCAAAGTAACAATGGCACTTAAAAAAAGTGACTTGTGACCGTTTTCCACACTTACGAACTTTGTAGCATCCCCATGATCATGTGATCAAAATTCAGATGCTTGACAACTGACTCATACTTAGGTCAGGTGATTTTGCAACCTTTTGACAAGCAAAATCAGTGAGGAAGTCAGATTCACTTAACAACTGGGTTACTAACTTATCAACTGCGGTGATTCACTTAAAGACTGCTTTCTATCATTGTTGCTTCAGAAAGCTGTGTTCACAACAACAACATCAGAGAGTCTTTTCTTGTTCCACTTTGTCTTTCAGAAGAGCTGGAACCTTCCATAAATAAGTAGTCCTCGACTTCTGACTGCAATTGAGCCCAAAATTTCTGTTGCTAAGCGAGACATTTGTTAACTGAATTTTGCCCCATTTTATGACTTTCCTTGCCACAGTCGTTAAGTGAACCCCTGCAGTTCTTAAGTTAGTGACATGATTGTTAAAGGAATCTGGCTTTGCTTGTCAGAATGTCGCAAAAGGTAATCACATGACCCCAGGACACTGCAACCGTCATAAATATGAGTTAGTTGCCAAACATCTGAATTTTGACCATGTGATCATGGAGAGGCAGTAATGGTCGTAAGTGTGAAAAAATGGTCATAAGTCACTTTTTCACTGCTGTTGTAACTTTGAACAGTGACTAAATGAACTGTTGTAAATTGAGGACTACCTGTACTATATGTACAATTTCTGGCTCCCATTTAACAGGTAAAAGTGAGCAATGCAAAGATTTTCCTAGTAGCTAAAGGCCACGGTGTACTAGTAGCACCAATCCATTGACGTTTGAAAGAGATTAATTCATTGGTCTTCTAGATATCCCAAGATTAAAGAGTTTTCACACTGTTCTTTTTTCGTGTGCCTCTTCCCTAATCGTTATTTAAATGCCTTGTGTTCCCTCAGCTTGTGACTGTAACCCGGAAGGTTCCCGTTCCCTTCAGTGCAAAGAAGACGGTCATTGTGAGTGCAGAGAAGGCTTTGTGGGAATCCGCTGTGACCAGTGTGAAGAAAACTACTTCTACAATCGATCCTGGCCTGGTTGTCAAGAATGTCCTGCATGTTACAGATTGGTGAAAGATAAGGTCATACCGATAACAAAATTTGCCAGTTTATAGTTAATTTTGCCAATTTAGAGGTTGCCTATTTTTATAATGGGGAAAATTAATAGGATATGTGTTTGTGCTTGGCACAGAAATGTTCTACTGGCAAAAAATATAATGTTGCCTACTTAAAAGCAACAGCAGCAACAGGTATAATACAAAAGCTACATCAGTCTCAATTCTAACAGCTCCAGGAATCTGTATATTCTTCCCTGAGCCACTTTGCATATTTTTAACATCTTTTTGTTCATCCTTTTTTTTTATCTGGAGCCTTCTAAACCTATGTAGTTGTCTTATCGATTTGTTGTTCCCTGTTGTCTCATTTGTTCAGGTTGAGGAGCAACGGGGTAGGCTGCGTGATCTGGAAAATCTTATAGCTAACATAGGTACAGGTGATGACATTATAACTGACCAGGCTTTTGAAGACAGACTGAAAGAAGTTGAAAGAGAAGTCATGGATTTACTTCGAGATGCCCAAAGTGTCAAAGGTAGGTTAGCTGTCTTCAGTTAATTGAATTAAACCATTTAGCAGCCTATAATATATTTCAGAAGCAATCAATTCCTATGTGTATATGTGTTTAGATATAAATGTTTTTCAAAAAACAAAAACCCTAACACAAACTAATAAAGATTAAAAAAAAGCAAAGAAAGAAAGAAGAAAAGGAAAAGTGCAGAAAGAGAGACAGAAAAAATTAGAAAGAATTTTCCAATTTATTTGCTCAGTTTTTTTTCTGTTATTCAGTTTTTTCTGAGCATCAAAACCACAAATCATAATTGCTTTTGCTTTTTTTCCTGTTTCACACAAAATACAAAGGGTTCCCAATCAGCCATAAATATATAGTTATTGTTTTTTAGTCTAATGAAAGTTTTGCCCTCTCTGCAGATTATTTCTTCTTCTTCTTCTTCTTCTTCTTCTTCTTCTTCTTCTTCTTCTTCTTCTTCTTCTTCTTCTTCTTCTTCTTCTTCTTCTTCTTCTTCTTCTTCTTCTTCTTCTTCTTCTTCTTCTTCTTCTTCTTCTTCTTCTTCTTCTTCTTCTTCTTCTTCTTCTTCTTCTTCTTCTTCTTCTTCTTCTTCTTCTTCATCGTCATACATTGTGGGAGAAGAGATATAGTTTTGATAATAACACTGAAGAAAGAAGCCGCCATGTTAGAGACAGTACTAATAGTTGGAACTGCATTTTACATTTTAATGATTGAAGTATTGTATCAGATTAAATTTAAATTAAACTATTATAGATTATGTTTAAAGGCCATTTTCGAACTTTGTGATCCAAAGATTCAGTCACAAAAGAGAGATTTATCTTGAGCTTTTCAAATGTCTCTCATCACAGAGAAAGTGGGAACTGATGAATCAAATGCATGCATATATTATATACTAATACCCACTGTACTTTGAAATAAAGGATTAGAGGAGTACTTCAGTCCTAAACTCTGTGAGCAATAGAAACAAAGTTAAGCGGGTTTTCTTCTCAGTTTCTTGTTTATGTATATCAGTGGTGTTTCTTGGAATATTATTAAGCCCACAAAACCTAAAATTTTTACTTCCAGTTATTTTAAAACTATATTGTGTCATTCAGAAGAGAAAAAGGAAAGCAAAGGTCATGTATGTTAGCAGATACATTTAACTTGATTTGTGTTAGAGATAAGTGAAAAACTTTACAGAAGAGATAAATTGAAAAAAAAACCAAGGAAGATTTCTTACTGAATTATCTGGTGTGCTGCGTTTGATCCCAGTGGAGAATTCTCTCCTCTGAAGACGTACAAAACCCATACTGTTCTAGAGATGAAAGGTCATTTTGTGAAGCTTCTATGTAAAAATCTGTGCTCAGTATTTCATATTTTCTATGGTCACGATTTTGGCAAATCCCAGCAAAACCTTAAAGTAGTTCATAATCTCCTTTCATTGTTGTATTTATTCATTGGATTTATAAGCCACTTTTCTGTTTGAGGCAAGAAGTGTCCATTCTCTCATTTCATAAAATGAATTAGTGATAAAAACATGGGATAATAAACTTGTATTTGCCCGTTTCTTTGTGTGACTCATTGTTCCTTTGTTCATTCCAGATGTCGACCAGGGGTTGATGGATCGTCTGCAGGAAATTAACAGAACACTTTCTAGTCAACTTGGTCGGCTGAGGAACATCCAGAATACAGTGAAACAGACAGAAAACCTGGCTGAGCTAGCTCAGGGCCAGGTGGAAGACACAGAGGGGCTGATTGACAGTGCTTCAAATATGCTCCACAAGGCAAGGATGGCTATTGCCAATGTGGTGAGTGAGATTTGCATTCTCTCTTTACATTTCATACCTCGCGATGGGATCAATCAGGGTTTCATGAGTGCCAGAATGATGCTTTTCAAAAACGAATATTGCTCAATCAAATCTTTATTACAGGCATTGACCTGCATAATGAATATTGCTTATTCCCCCCTCCCCAAATGTCTAGCCTTTTGGGGTGGGGGTTGTGAAATCATGCTGGGAAATAATGAAAGCCAAGCAATACTTAGTAAAATTGTAAGATGGACTTACAATGAGAATCTCGAATGAACTAAAGATGCGGTATATTTTTGCTAAGTAAGAGACATTACACAAGATGGTCCAATGTATAGAATTTGATGGCTCCCAGTGCAGAACAAAAGGTGGCCCTGCTGCAGGACATTTTCAAGGACTGCTGGCGTGGGCATGTGCAAAGTCTTGAAGAGTCTCTTGGTCTTGATCAATCCTTTGACAAGCACTCCTTCAGGGTGGCTTGACAAAACATGGAGCCCCTCATTTAGGTACCAGAGTGATGCTGCCACATCATTCGGAAGCACCTACTGGACTGGCTTTAATAGTCTTCTGTGAAAAAATGTTTCGATTAAACCAAAGCTGTTGAACAATGCAAGGAGACCATCTCAGAAGCCCTGAGTGGGCTCATTTCTTCTTTCTGTAGCCCCATTTCAGAGATTGGGATTGAAGCATCTCCATCAAGCAATGCCCTCTTGCATTGCTCTTTGGCTGAATATAAAACATTCTCTCTGCAATCAGATACCAAGATTGGTATTCGTAAGGAAACCTTATTGAAATCATTTGCACTGTCATACTGATAAGCATGGCTGCATTTCCTTTTTATATATAATATATTTTATTAATTTTTTAACATGGTCACCTTAATATTCGGTAAACAGTGTGTTGTCTGGGTTTACATTTAAAAAACATTCGCTAACAATTGGTTTCTATGATCTATAATCCACATAATAGCTTTATTTGCTTTCCTCTTCTTCCCATAATGTTCTCTTTTACCAACCTTAAGTTAATACAGTTCTTATTGTTTTGATAAATAACAATTGAATATAATTTTTTTTCTAATATTTCCGCAAATAATAATCACATCAATATAATATTTCTTTTCTATCTAGTCATTCTGGTTGCCTCATCATAGATCCCGTTTACAGTTCTTGTTTACATTCCCCCCCCCCCAATATTCAAGACATTCTTACTGGCTATTTTTTCTCATGTATAAACCATCCCATAACTTTTACCTTACTTAAGGAATAAATAAGACTAAAAAAAGAGAAAAAAAGAACAAGAGTAAAGAGGGATAAAAAGATAGTATACTACTGAAAGTCCATGTTTCCCCTAAGCTAATACATATTTATTTCCAAAGTTTTTCCATTCTTTTTTACCATAATTAAGAATATATTTAATCTAGAAATATTCCATTTAATAAATCTAGTCATCTGGTCTTTTAACTCTTATTCAAAACATTTTTTTAATCCATGGTAATTTTCTTAAAATCAATCACATTTAAATATCTAAAATATGTCCTTATATATAAGCCATTCTAACCCTTTTATATTACTCATATCAAGAAAGAAGAGAAGAGAAGAAAGAGAGAGTCTCTATCCACGAATTTGTGTTCAGTTATCTGTTTTATCTTCTCCTTCTCTATTGTTATTTCCTGGGATTTTTTTTTGTTGTAAAGTTAAATTGGAGATGAATTGGTTTATGTTTTCAAAGTTATTTTGGATTTCTTTGTGTTTTGAAGTCATTGTTGTTTGAATTAGTTGCAGCATCTCCTTTTCAAAGGCATTTATTTTTTCTTGATAAGTTCTTTCTGCGAGTCTCTAATTTTCCATAGTGGTCAAGAATTGAGGTTTTCTGGCTGCATTTTCCTGATGTGCTTTTCTTCCCCTGGACATTTTTTTCTGTCAGTACATCATGTGAAAGTGTTTAAGAACAATCATGAATTGTTTTACTGTATTTTTAACAAATACAATGAATAGCCAGAAAAACATTGCATTCTCCTTGCGTTTCTCAGTTTCTGCTTGTATTTGAAAACAGCTTCATGAATTTCCAGTGACCGATTCAATTTCTTTTACAGCTGCTTTGTGAATTGGGCTTTGTAGACAATTAATATGCAATCCCATATTTTATCTCTGACTTACAAACTGGTACCTAGAAAGGAGAAATGCAGAAAAAATATAACTCAGTTTTCATCAGTCTGATTAATTTGACAGTTATTTATTTCTTTGTTGAATTTTCTAATTTTTCCATTGCAACCTTGTGATCATTAGACCAGTATTAGTGTCCTGCATCATGTATTAAAAAATAATAAACTGTCAGCAATTGGATAACAATTACTTGTACATCAGCTTTCAAATATTATAATTTTTTCCGTCATAAAATATCTGTCTTTATTGCTTTTTAATGTCAATGTGTACATGTGGTGGAACTCACAGGAAATGATGGCACTGCAAACTTCAGCCCTTCAGGGTCCAGACAAAATAGATGAACAACACTAGATTGCCTGATATAGCAACACCTCTCTGTTTCTTATCTCTGATACAAGCAACTGTTATTTGCTTGTAGTAGTGTAAAATGCAAGAAATGGTTTTTGAAAGTTTTATGGTTCCTCTTTCAGTCTATCACTCCACCAGAATCAACCAGTGACCCCAACAACATGACTGTCCTGGCAGAAGAAGCTCGCCAACTGGCTACACGGTGAGAGATGCTCCCTTTATTCTCATGGATAATTTTAACCATGCCTATATTTGACAGATTGTTGAGGAACCCAGTAGACTACCATCTCCCTACTTTATTTAAACTTTTCGCCAAGTCCATCATGCATTAAATGGTAACTTCCCTACATCTCCTTCAGCCTAAGGTCTCCTCCCTCAATTCTGTGGAGGGAATGTTCTCTTCTTCCATATTCTTTCTGCTGTCCCCAAATCTCACTCCTTTTAAAAAACAATCCCCTTCTCTTTTCTGCTCTGAAAAGAACTGATTGAAAGAAACCCGCAATGGGGCAGTTATACATTGTTATTCTTTTTTGAATTGTGTTGCTTCTGGTTATTTAATTGTACTAAAGGTTACATCTTATCAATTGCAAAAATATAGTTACATATATACTGCATTACTTAGGTTGTAAAAGAGCATTTACTGTATGCAGCTTTTCTCTTTAAAGTTGTAAAGTTTTCAGCTTGGAAAGAATGGGCTGTTTTTATTGAAAATGAAGGAATCCCATGATTTTCCTATTCATAGAAAATGTGGGCCGGACTTTTATTTTATATTTATCACATAATTCTAATTCTTAATAGATTCTGATTCTAAATAGAAAACATTTTGTAAGAAGGGACTCAGAAGGAGTGAAAAATCTTACTTCTAATCTACAGTATGTTTCTACAGTGATTATGGCGTTCTGCGACTCACTTGCTCAAACTGATTAAAGCCTCAGCCAGGTCTCCATCTTCTGGTTTGAGGACAAGTTCCAGCAAACTGAGTTTTAATTTACTGTCATGGCAAGCACCTCCTTCTCCCCCCCCCCCATTATGCGTCACTCATTTCCTATTTGAGCAATACTGTTGAACAATGGGAATGATGTAATCTGCCACAAGATTTAGAGGAGAATCTTTGTGGTAATCCTTTCCAACAGATGGGAATGGAGGCATTTGCAGAGTTAGGTCAAAGGTGGAAAGCAGAGGTGATTGGAAGCATGGAACCGGGATAACGTGGAATGAAGGCTGCACTAGTGCCTGCTCTCCAGAACATGATGCTAGGCCAGAAATCAGCCCCATTCTCAAAATCTCCATGATGGTGTATTTGCCACAGAAGCAGGTTCTTGTTTAACTTGGATTGAGTTAGTTATCAACAGAAGCACAATTCAAGCCATGCAGTTGAAACTGAAACAGGATGACATATTATTGGTCTCTTTGAAACCATGCATGCATGATGATGATGATAATGATGCTTGGAAAGGAAAATACATATAGTAGCATACTTCAAATCATTTGTTTTCCTTCCCTTTTATGTCCCAGGCATAAAGCGGAAGCAGATAATATTGAGAAAATAGCTAAAGAAGCAAACGATACATCATCACAAGCATATAAGCTACTCTTGGACACACTAGCAGGAGAGAATGAAACAATGAATGACATTGGTGACCTAAATAGAAAGTAAGTCTAAAACATGGAAGCTTCTGATGCATATAGTTGTTTTGTTTTAAAATGTGTGAATTGCCTTTCAGAGTCAGGATACCCCTGGTGGTTTAAAGAATTGTGAAGAGGAGCTGTTTCTCTTTTTATTTCTTAATTCCTGTCTCAGTCTGAAGAATTCAAAGAGGGATATCTATGAACTATACGGGTATTCAAATGCACTTAAACTTGCCGTTTTAAATTGTATTTTACAGAACAAGAACTTCCTCATCTCATTTGCTAGCTAAGGTTTCTTCTTACTGAAGTGAACCATTATAGCAAAACAACTATTTCTCAAGAGCAAATATATTAAATAGAAATAAGCACATATTTGTTATTCATCATTTATTTTTAGGTTGTAATGATACAGTAAAAAGTATTTGTAGACAGAGCATTTGATGTGTTCTAGCTAGTGCTTAAAGAACAGAAATATCTTTTTCAGGGTCCCATTTCAATGACACCCAATCAATTAATAAAATTATCAAATACACATAAGGTGGAGAGGAAGAATAAAGAATAGAGGAAAAGAGGTGGATCATTGGAGGACAGGAAATGCAGTAAGAAAAACAATAGACTTGGGAGGGGTTGGAGAAGAGATTTCTGAGATCCTTTGTCAGCTGCTGCAGGCAATCACAGATCCCATATCCCAACTACTTTCTGCTTATACTAGTAGCAAAACAGAAGATAATAACAACTGCAATAACAATAGCAACAATCCTTCAATCCCCACTGGGACCCCCTGATCACAAACACTGTTGTACATGACAGCCGTCTTGTGACTCTTAGCGTGGTTTTCATTGTCTTATGAGTACAGTGTTGCAATCATCGTCAAGAGTGGCCAGGATAAGTGGTAAGCAGGTGAATGTTTGTGGAATAAATAATTCGGATACCCCACAAATTGTGACCAATCAGTATTACTCATAACCCATGATTTCCTTCTTAGGCAGCTTTCTACCTGCAGAAGGATGACCACTAGCCATGTATATGAAACAAAACATATGTTTGAGCTTGCTATAAAACAGCTGCACTGGAGACATTCCATTGCATTGTTCAGAATTGGCTGTCTTCTTTGAAGAATTTCCAGGGATCCAGTTATATGAAACAATCAGACTCCTTGCTCTGAAACCAATATTCGTAGAAATCCGTATCTGAAACTATACAAAAGTCTTATCCCTGAAAGCTTAACATCAGCAGGCTCAAGAGCCTATATCAGTGGTGGCGAACCTATGGCACGGGTGCCAGAGGCAGCACTCAGAGCCCTCTCTGTGGGCATGCACGCCGTCGCCCCAGTGCTAGGCTTTCAACTGGGTTTTATAAAACCTTTTCGCTTTAGGCCTCCGCCATGTGCAAAAAAAAAATAAAAATTCAGTCAGTCAATTTCAACTTCTCGCGGGGAAAAAAAGATCTTGCAAAGTTGGAATTGATTGAACTTTTTAGTCCCACCCAGTTTGCCGTTACCACAGCCACGCCCACCCAATGGGCCACACCCACCCAGCACTCGACAATACATAAATGGGTTTTGGGTTGCAGTTTGGGCACTCAGTCTCTAAAAGGTTCGCCATCACTGGCCTATATGTTCCCAAAGCTCAACAAATCAACCTGAACCTTCTATTTTTAATAATCTAGTAAAACCCCATCATCTTTTATCTGCTTTTTTTTTTCAGGCAAGGCTGCCTGCCTGCCAGTAAATAAATAAAAAGCATACCATCCTCTTATGCGAGGAACCCACATGAATTCTAGCTTCCCTGTAGTAAATACCTTTTTTTAAAAAAAAGCAGTAATTTACCAGGCAAGCTGACAAACTATGGCTGTGAGCACTTTTCTTCTGTCTGGACTTAACTGCTGTTTTTCTCTCAACTTACCTGCCCCATATTATTCATTTCAGTGAAAACAAATAACAGCAGGGGTATTATTGGCCTTGCTGCTATACTGCTATACTATATACTAGTCCAGGGGAAAAAAGAATGGGGCGGGGGGGGGGGGGGGGAATCGCCTCAGAAAAATCAATCCAGTTGAAATGATGCTGCTCAATCTGGGTGTATATCTGAGATTAAAGCCAAGATTTTGAATGCAAGTGTTTAGCTTTGGGCTTTAGAACCCCAGCAATGACTTCATCAAAAGATGTTTTGCCCAGCCCTAACAGCCTCTTGGTAAACACCTTGTAATAGTAGTGCTACGCGCTGTTTATGAAACTCATTTCAAGAGAGCACAGGATCTGGCAGGATCTCCTTGCAAGCTGCAAGGGGGAAATGAGCGATTTTTTAAAATAAAGATTTATTGAACCAAATAAGATCCAGGACCAATTCAAAGCATTTTTCATGGTTATTGAGTAGCTAAAGGCTGTGTTTAGTCCCAGTAACATAAGATCAGGCTGCTGAAATTAAATTAAGGGATTAAAATGGCCACATTTCAATATCTCCAAATCCCCCTCCCCCGTCTTTTTTTTTTTTTTTGCCTGTTTTGACTTGCTTTGGGGGTCTTAAGGATAAGAATAGGAATAGAACGTTTCTAGGAATTACATTGCTCTCATACTAATTCTTAAGATTTAGAGTTGAAGTCCACATACCTGAGAGCTGCTAAGGTTGAGAAATCCTGGCTTAGATGTATTCCCCAGAGATGTAGGTCTTAAAGCATAAACTTGAAGGCAAATAGTTTGCTATAGTTTCTGCAGAAAAGCTTGGAACTGCTATTAAACGTGGAAGCTAGAGGATTAGGGACTAGATGGATTCAAGCAAATTAATACTAACTTCTAGTTTTAACAATACAGAAAGCTACAAAGTGAAATTTGGCTTGTTTAAATGTTGGGAAGTTGTCCTACATGTACTTAATTACTTAGTTGTTATGTTTGAGCCTCACCTTTCTTCTAAGAACTCAAACCAACATACATAATACTCTTTCCTCCTAGTTCATTCTTATAGCAACAGCTCTCTGAGGTGGATTAGGCTGAGAAGGATTGGCTTGATGTCAGCCAATAAACTTCCAAAGCAGAAGGCAGATTTGAGTTTGTTGCTATCTTGATTTAAATCGAGCACATTAAAGTTGTATTGCCTTGGTTTTTTATAGTACGGGTAGTCCTCAACGTATGACCACAATTGAACCCAAAATCTCCATTGTTAAGCAAGACAGTTGTTAAGTGATTTGTGTTCCATTTTACAATCTTTTTTGCCAGAATTGTTAAGTGAATCGCTGAAGATGTTAAGTGAATCATGCGGTCATTAAGCGAATCTGGCTTCCCCCATTAAGTTTGTTTGTCAGAAGCTGGTTGCGAAGGTCACAAATGGTGATTACATGACCCTGGGGCAGCGCAATTGCCATAAATGCATGCCAATTGCCATGCACCCAAATTTTGATCACGTGACCATGGGGATGCTGTAATGGTCGTAAGTGTAAAAAATGATCATAAAGTCACTTTTTTCAGTACCTTTGTAACTGTCCCTAAACTAATGGTGGTAAGTCAAGGATTACCTGTAAAGATATCACAGAATATGTCATGTTTTTGTTCTCACGGTTCAGTTTGGACTCACATAGCCTCCAGAGGTCAAATTGGAATGAGGGGAAGTTTTGCTTTCTGCCTTCTAACAGATAATAGAAGGGCTTAAATAAAGAAGAAGGGCTTCTTGTGGCAAATTTGTGCCCTGCCATTGAATGCCTCTTTCCATTTGAGTTTTATTTTCTCTTGGCAAAAATTGAACACCAAGCTCAAAGAAAAAAACAATATTCTTAAATCAAAGGTGAGGAGTCTTTAGCTCCTGCTTTCATGTGACATACGGTCCTACCCATATTGCAGATCTCAACGTCCCCCCCCCCCAAAAAAAATTATCATTGGCTACAAAGACATTTCTCACTCCAGCCTTAGGTGAGCAAACCACACAGAACACTAATGGAATGTTTTTGTTTCTCAGGTATAACCAAGCAAAGAATATTGCACGAGACCTAGAAAAGCAGGCAAATAAGGTCTCTGCAGAAGCAAAAGAAGCTGGAGAAAAAGCTCTACAAATCTACGCAAACCTGACCACTCTGCCATCCATAGACACTGCAGGGCTAGAGGTATTTTGAGATGGGCTCCTTGCTGAAGGCATTTAGATATGGTTAGCACATCTTGAAAATTGTACTGGCATATCTTAGGTGACAATACTTGAAGTTTAACTTTGGCTGAGGAATTATTTATGAAATGCTTTTCAAAACAAATCATGTGAAAGACTGGATAACCCCCAAATTTAAATCAAAGTATGTAGAATGTTTTAAAGCTATCTAACATGGATGCAGTTTGAAAAGTAGCTAAAGTTGTTCTCAAATGCATCCAGTCTTGTGATGCTTGTGCAGACGCATCCATGTCCTTTTTTTGAAAATGCAGATCTTTTCATTTTCTTCTGAGTGTATCAGCATTCTTGGGTCTGGAAAAGGGAAAGGTTTTAAAAACAGGATAGATGAGGACCAGAAGGACTTTTTCTTAGATTTAACTCTTAAACAAGGCATCTATTAGGAGTCTGTGAAAAGAAGGCTTAGGTGGCTCAGAGTTACTCTGTCTTAATGTACTAACCAGAAAAAGAGAGGGCTGTGGTATACATACCTAGTTTCCAGGACAGTATAAGCCAACCCTTTTTTCTTGGCATTAAATCTGACTCAAAATTCACTATATGAATCTAGCTTCCTTGGTGATAAGGGCTTGATACTAGAATATTTTTTTTTACTTCCCAGTCTAGTTTACCACCCAGGATTTCCTAAAGATCTTCCTTCCAATTACTAATCAGGTTCCACCATGATTTAGCTTTTTTTGAGGTCTCTACTCCTAGGACCTCCTAGGACCAACAAACAAATACATAGATTGGAAAGACACTTATGAAATAACTTGGAACCCTGATTTTTCCTTGCAGAGATAGTGGCCTCCGTAGTTCAGTTTTCCTTTTTTCGGTTGTACAGAAATAGTGAAAACCATAAGAAGTCAAATCTGCTATATTTTGATTACTCATGCTTACACCAGCATCCAAGGCATACCTTGAGGCCTTATTAAAACATTTTAAAACCTTCCCTTTCATCTTACTATATTAGAAAAAAAAGGATTTGAAGGAGAAGGCTTGCACTGGGCATAATGGCAAGTGCCCAGTCCATTTAAATTGTGCAATGTTTCAAAAAAAAATGGTGGAAAAAGGTTATGATTCTTGAGTATTCCTGAAGACAACATCTTCAGCATTCCATTAATCAAAGAGGTGCTACAGAGAGCACAATGAGATCTGCATCAGGTCTGGAATCTCCTTAAGGGGCGTGTTTGATCCAGTCCATCAGCTGATGGTCTTATAAGAACAGTCTCTTGAATGTGTAGGATGAAATATCAGTTTAGGTTTCTTAAATTCGCTGAAACTGTTTTTCTTCCTACCTTTTCTCCATATTTCAGAATGAGGCAAAGAACATCAAAGAGGAAGCCCAGGAGTTAGAACTACTCATTAAAGACAAACTAAAGAATTATGAAGATCTGAGAGAAGACATGAGACAGAAAGAATTGGAAGTTCAGAATCTTTTGGAGAAAGGCAAGACAGAGCAGCAGGTCAGTTATATTAACTAGCATAAATTCTTGTCCCTGATATGTCAAGAACATACGCTGTGTTTTGTACATACCCACTCATAATTTACCACATATTGCAGAACTGTAATGGTCATTCATTATGCTCTTTGATAATTTTCTTGAAGATGTGGAGTCTATCAGCATAAAGACTACATTGTGTGGTACACATCACTTGTTTTTATTTTTGTTTTATTTACGTTTGATAACTGCTGGAATGATACCAATCTACCATGTGATTCCACATTTTTTTCATGTGATAACAATTGGCTAGAACAGAGGTCCCCAATTTTTTGGGCAGCAGGGGCAGGTACCACAGAGAAAGGTTTTTCCGCGGACCAGAGGGGGTGTGGTTTTCAATACTGCTTGCATCCTGAGGATGGCGCTTTGCTTGTTTGTGCAGCCCGCTTGCTGACATGCTGCGGACCGGTGCCGCTCCATGGACTGGGGGTTGGGGGACTCTGTGTAGTTTAGAGACCTTATCCTTTCTTGCATCTAGTATTACTTTCTTGATAGTGACAAAAAAAAACACCTTTTTATCCAAGTCAAAGGTGAAGTTTATTTATAAAGGATAATAAAACTTTGTTTTTTAGACTTACCTTTGCAGGTAAAATTAAGATGAGGAAGAAAGTGGGATCTCAGTAAATTAGATTTGCACGTTTTTATCCCTGCCTCATGCCTTTTTGTTAGTATAGATACATATATAGAATAAAAATAAATATAGAAATGACTTTGCACTTTTGAGCAAACTGCTTTTCTCTTTGAAGCTGTTTGAACATTAGAATTTGACCAGGTGTGTCAGAAGAGCACATATGATAACTTGCTGTGTATTTGCTTAGACTGCTGATCAGCTTTTGGCTCGAGCAGATGCTGCCAAAGCTTTGGCCGAAGAAGCTGCCAAGAAGGGAAGCAACACACTCCGGGAAGCCAATGAGATCCTCAACAATTTGAAAGGTAGGCAGCCTAACTTCCTGAGAAGCCATGTGACAGAATGGCAGGATGTCCTGCCAGAATAGACTTCTCTTTGAGCAGGAATCAAGCTGTTGTCTTGCTAAGTCTATTATTCTGGTTCTTACCATCTCTACCTCTACTGTAGAATGTATTCTGTTGAAAGGACAGTTCTGTTTCACTTTGTGGGAAAGGCAGAATTCAATTTCCTGGGAATGGACAGGAATCTTGGGAAGTAAGGCTAAGAACTAGTAATTGAAATCAGCAAAAAGAAAAGGGTGGAGGTTCCTAAACCCTTTAAGACTTTTTACTTGAAGGATATTGCTAGCTTTGTAATATTTTTGCAGCCAATTATAAAACATGGACTTTCCAGAAAAACAAACCAATAGGCTAAAAGGAAAATAATTTCTATCTAAGCCAAATGTCAGGGAGATGTAGGACCTAATCTCCAGATCCTAAGACCACTTTTTCATTTTTAAAAAATCATTATTTCTTTGCTATAAAACCTATTTTATAAAAGGAAAAGCGAGGGGCAGAAGCAAATTTTTGACCAAGGACGTGAACACAAGGCAGAAGTGGGATCTGAGTCCCAATGCAAAACCATATTTACCTCCACAAAAAAAATATATATATAATTCTTTAAGATGTACATACCAGACACAAATATCTATAATAGATAAAATATCTCTGCACACACAAAATAGCAAAATGCACAATAGCAAGCAAGGAAAAATTAGGCAAGACACAAAAGTACCTTAGAATGCTTCAAACTAACCACTATTTTTTTTTTCTAAAAATGCCTGTTGTTCTTATTCTTGGAAATAAGGGCAATGGCTGCAACACTGAAAAATTCATTTCCTTGCTTCACGCTGTGTTCCCAGATTTTTTTTAAAGGAAGGATAAGCAATCATGTGGACCCTTGTTGTTTTCCAGAAATTGCATCTCAGTGGTGGAACATGTGTTTTGCATGGAGATGTTCCCAGGCTCAACTCCCTGTATCTCCAAATAGTAATAAGAAAGACATGTTCTATTTGAAACTGTGAATAGTCACTGTCACTAAAAATAAGGCAGCCTTCCATGTCTTAATTCTTCCAAAATTTTGGTTCACATTTCTCATCATCTCTGATCATTGATTGGGCCAATGGGAATTGTGTTTTAAATCATTTTAGGGCATAAGTATGTGCAAGGCAGGTACAGACAATATGAAGTTGGATATTACAGTCATCTGATGCAAGTTTCCATCATGCATTTCAGACACAAGCCATAATTCCTTCAGAATTATAACTATATATAAATTAAGATTTTAGGAACAAGTATAAAACAAAGGAGTTGGTAAAACTTAAATACTATGTTTACTTCACATTGGGAGGGGGAATGTCCTATAGATTATACTGTAGGGAGAATATGTCAGCCAATGATAGCTAAATAATATTTCAAGGCGCTGAGCTGTCAGCTGGAAAGCTGATGGCCCAGGTTTAAACCCAAGCACCAACATGATGGGGTGAGTTCCCATTACGTGCCCCAGGTCCTGCCAACCTAGCAGTTCAAAAGCATGCAAATGTGAGTAAATGAATAGATACCACTTCGGTGGGAAGGTAACAGGGTCCCATGTGCCTCAGCGTAAAGTCATAATGGTTACATGACCATGGAAATGTCTTTGGACAATGTTGGCTCCTTTGGTTAAGAAACAGAGATGAGTACTACCCCCTTGAGTTGAAAACAACTGGAAAGGGGAAACCTTTATTTTTATTTCAGTGTTGAAATAAAGTGTTGAATAGTAACAGATAGGGGTGATTATGACATCCTGGGACTAATACTATGATTTTCATCTTTGCTTTTGCAAACTGTCAATGGGATTAATTTGACTGCCATTGGACTAAAAAGTTGGACTGAACAGATTTTGTATGATCTACTGTAGCTGCACTTTGTTTTTCCCTTGGTTTCAGACTTTGATAAGCGTGTGAATGATAACAAGACTGCTGCTGAAGAAGCTCTTAGGAAAATTCCTGCCATTACCCAGACCATTATGGATGCAAACAGTAAGACCCGCCAAGCAGAACTGACACTAGGCAATGCGGCTGCTGATGCCAGAGAAGCAAAAAACAAAGCCGATGATGCTGAGAGAATTGCTACATCTGTAAATAATGTAAGTCATGGGAAAAATATATATTGGTAGCAGAGTTCTGAGTCATTCAAAAAGCAGTGTCTTCCCCCAGTCCTTGGCAGAATTGTACTGTCTATAAAACCAGGCCTCTATAGTTCTCTTGGAGAATGCAAAGCCTATTAGCAAGACTGTTGCCTAGCTCTTTCTGGAGATGGGAAGAGAACATGTGTAGCCCAGCCATATCAGATGAGCAATTAAAAGAATTTCAGTAGCACCTAGATCAGGGGTCTTCAAACTTGGCCCTTTTATGACTTGTGGACTTGAACTCCCAGAATTCCTCAGCCAGCGTGACTGGCTGAGGAATTCTGGGAGTTGAAGTCCACAAGTCATAAAAGGGCCAAGTTTGAAGACCCCTGACCTAGATCAAGACACCATGTGTAAGGCAAAGATTAGTGCAAGATGCTCTGACCTGATGCTTTCCCCTTTAGTTAGAGAAAATTTACGACAAGGACTACCAAAATTCACAAATGGGACATGAGGACTGTTGTGATCAAATGCCACAGTCATTGACAATTTTGGATTGCCTGGACTAAAGAGCTTGAGGTCTTTCATAAATGTTCTTGTGGCATTAATAAGACTATTAAATTAAGGAACCTGTTAAGAGCAAATGCACATGGATCTCTGTTGAAATAAGTAAACAGTCCTCTGTGTTGCTTGGCTTTTGGTCTAATTTTCTAATCTTGGAATATGTTCAGTATCTTCAAGAATTTGATTTCTGCTAATCCTAGAATGCTAGTGCTACAAAGGAGATTGCAGACAACACCTTTAAGACTGTTACCGAGTTGGACAAAGAAGTTGATGACATGCTAAAGCAATTGACAGAAGCAGAGAAAGAATTAAACAAGAAGCAACAAAGTGTTGATCAAGATATGATGATGGCAGGAATGGTAAGTAACTGTGATTGCTAAAAAAACCCAAAACCGTTTGGTTGTTTAAGATTCTCATCCATTATAGAGATCACAATGTGCTATACTTAATCTTTTTAACGAGGTAAAAGTACATAGGTTCTTGTCATAAGATTGCAAAACTCTTCTTACCACTGAAATCACATAATATTCCTCCTTTGACTACCTTGTTCCTGGTGACATTTGCCATCCTATGGAAATGACATGACATCAAGCATCAATGAGAGAAAATGGATATTAGTGTGATCGTTATTCAGTTATTTTAACATGGCATTTGTAGAAGTGGACATCTCAATTCAATCTTTAAGTTTGGTATTAGGACATGGCATCATTCCACATAACTGTGTTCACCCATGAGTCATTGGATAAGAAGCATACTTTACATTTTATGTTACAGGCTACACAAGCAGCTCAGGAAGCAGAAGATAATGCAAAGAAGGCAAAGAACTCCGTGAACAGTTTGCTGAATATGATTAACGAACTTCTTGAAAAATTAGGTATTTATACGTATTTCCTTTCAGCTGATGATTTACTAGAAAATTCTGCCATAAACAAGTCAGGTTATTGCTTTTGGCTATATCTTCAAGGTGTTTTGATCCTCAACTAATGAGTCTTACCTAGCAAGGATATTTGGCAAGCAGTGTTTGAATTATAATCTAAACATTTGGAGTATGTATTGTTTGTGAAAGATGGATGATAGTACTTCTCAGCATGACTGGTTATTTCTGCACTTTCAGTAGTAACATTGATGTGTATCGACAGCTATGTTAACCTTGGAAGCAGCTGGGAAAGTTGATCTAAACAACTTGTGGACTTATTCTAAATATTAAAATATATAGATCTAGAATGGGGTATGGTGATTTAAATGAAGATACATTAGCAGGCAACCCCAGAACTATCAAGTAGACAGTATTGCAATTTGCAATCCAAATTTCTGATTAATTAAAATAGAAGTAACAGCCTTCATATATTCAGTTATCATATTGGGAAGGAGGCTATGTAGGCTAATGAAAAAAATTAAAAAAATAATGTGAGTAGCAGACCTATAGTAATCCCCATAAAATTGACACTGTACTTGATGCTAGCATATTAATTTCTTAAATGAAACACTTTTGGTGGTCATTGCTGAATCATTCATGTAATGGGCCTTTTTAAACATTTGTGCTTATTTTTTGTCTTTCTACATTGGTATGTATATTGAACACAGATCCGTTACCTGTGGATGTCCTCTTTTTCATATGTTAATAGTCTATCCCTCACACCTCTTTTTTTTCCCCTTCCAAACCCATTGCTTAGCAGAGATTTCCCTGGCCAGGATCCAGAAAACACAAAACTAATGTTGTGAGCCAAAGAGAACTTTCATTTGTTTTTGTTTACACAGCAGCTCTTCAGACAACAATCTAGCAAATAGTTTTGTGAAACACAGGACCATATATTTGATTTAACATATATCTCAATCTGCTTTTCTAGAGAAAAAATAAGTTTTATTTGAGTATCACAAGCTCTTTCTAGAACTCTAAGGTGTTTTTTAAAATCCTAAATGGAACCTGTCTGTTTCTCCAAAATTCTACACATCTTCCAATAGTATCTAAAAGGTCAGAGCAATAAAATGCAAGGTTGAGTAGAAAAATTCTTCCCAAGTGTCTCAATACAAATGAGAGAAGATAATACAGTAGCCTAGTTTGCTGCATAGCTTCCAGTATCCTACAACTGGCTGAGATCTTGTATGGTTCAGCTTGGAGTGATGGCTGCTCTGCAAAATTAAAGCATATTATGAGAGAGAAGCCTTAGGGAACGGCACGGTGGTCTAGAGTTGGAACTGTCGCCTCACAATCAGGAGGCTGTGAGTTCAATCCTAAGTAGTGGCAGATATTTCTCTCTCTGGGTACAGTGAGTTATTATCTGCTGCGAACTCCACATAGGCGTTAGGAAGGGCATCCAGCCAATAAACACTCAGCTCCATTCAGTCAATCTGACTTCACCCCAGTGCAAGGGATTACAAAATTGTTAAAAGAAAAAAAATGAAAGAGAAACCTTAATGGTGAAATGCTGGTAGTGAACAAGAAACTGCATAAGTTTCATGTAAGAAGAAAAATGTACATACACACGTAGGTAGAAAAAGAGATGCTAAAGCACAAATTAAGTAAACATCAGTTGGTAATATAAATATTCACTATGAAGATCTACAAATTCTACAAAATTTGAATTTCTGAGGTGGCATTTAAAAGAAACTTTGAATTGAGTGAGTTATATTTTGTTTCACAGATTTTTTTTCCACAGCTTGAAATTTCACAATTGGAATGTTAAAGTAAATGTTCCCTTCTAGTGTAGTTTGGCTAGGGTGATCTATTGTTTCTTGAAAAAAAACAACAACCAATTTGCTTAGCAAAAGACCATTTAATGTTATAGAGATTCAGTTTTTTTCTCCAATCTGGTAATTGGAAATAACTTTTTGTAATAGATTGAGGGGGCTTCCTAACTTTGTACTTTTCTATCTCTGTAGCACGAGTGGAACCTGTGGACCAGAGTCAGCTGAGTATGATTGAAGATACTTTAAATGCTGCAAAAAATCAGATGAAGGATAGTGATTTGGACCGGAAAGTATCCGAACTAGAGAAAGCCGCTGAAAAGCAAGCTAGTGCCATCAATGAATATAACAGGGACATCAACACCATTTTGAAAGACATTGGCAATCTAGAGGACATCAAGAAGACCTTGCCAAGTGGCTGTTTCAATACCCCATCCATTGAAAAACCCTAAGGGTGTGCCAAGGGCAGGGGGGGCATTCCCTCAGTGACTGGTGAAACAGTTTTGGCTGTGGAGTGCCTTAATTCCTAGATGATGTTCTTCAGGACCTTGACCTCATCTTCCACACAGTTCAGTCGTTCATTCTTTCCTAGTTGGGGGTTGGGGGGGAATGCAAGTATATGAACTAAAAACAACTTAATTACCAGCCTTGGGGCATCAGAAAGATATCAAGACATACACTCTATACACTACTTTGCTCAAACACTCTACATTCTTTTTCTCAGAAATTGTAATTTACAATATGATGGACTTTGTACTGAGAACTGAAGTGAGGGAGGGCACAAACACAAGCTCTTTTTTTCATTCCCTTTTCCATTCCTGTATCTCCTGCCCTCCTGCAAATTGTTAATCGATGAAGGAAACAGTTTGGCTACCAAAGTATTAAATAGCAATGGCCAGGATAACCACCCATTCTGAGAAATGCATGTGGGTTTCAGAATCAGCATTCTCCCCAAACAAGGAGAAAAGGTTGAGCCTATTCTTAAACTAGTAGCCACTCAATGCTTTGGTAGCCAGCTGCCAGCTATTAAGAACCTTTCTAGTGTGCAATATGTATATGTGTATCTTGTTTCTGAGACTGTTCTCAGAAATGCTTTTGAGGAGTCATGAGGAAGGAGTGGTATATTAGTTTTCCATGGTGCTAAAGCTCGGCCTGTAAAGCAGGCATGCATTTGGGCCTGTAAGGATAAAGTCAGGTGCTTCAGTTTTAATTGGAAAAACCTGCTTGTGGCCAGAATTGTTCCTGTCACTGGGTTAAGATGGACAGATTTTTTTGTCTCTTAAAAATGAAAAAGAGATTTTAACATTTCTCCTCGCGTTTAGGGCTGGGGGGGGGGGAAAAGCAATTTATTCAGAAAGAACTTTACTTGCTAGGTTTCCCTCTGAAATATGAAGCTGTTGTAACCTTATCTGGTCAAAACAACCCCAGGGGATTTTGCAGTTCTCTTTATATCAAGTCAGAGGTGGTTTTGCCATGAAGAGTATGTCTCTTTCCTGAAAGTACCAGATCCCAATAAAGTACAATAGACTTTTTTTTTTCCTGGCAAAATAAGAAAAATGGCCAGGCCCAATTCTAGGGACAAACATATAGAAATTACAGTATTGACTAGCTGAGTTGTTTGCAACTCAGTATGAATATCTGTCCTGTTCAGAAGTTTTGCCCCTTTTCTATTTGGGAAAGCTTTGTAGGTAGAAGGTTTGTTTTCTTCATAATCTCTCATACATCATTGCGAACTAGAGAAAATCATATCGGCCTCCGTTGTTTCCTCATTAGTGTGGTCTGATGCTTCCACCCCTCCCCCCCTGCCTTTTGAGAACTGTGTACCAACCCTTAAACACTATGCAACTTTGTACGTTTGCGTAGAGGGGAAGAATTTTTATTATCTGACACACACTGGTGCTATTAATTATTTCAAAGTTATATTTTTGTGTGAATGTGGGGGTTTTGTGTCTTTGTTTCAAATCATGGCTATTGTGTGAGGACATCTGTTTCTCTCTCCACTTCCCCTGTGTAAATATAATTGGTCTTGTTTCTGAAGAGGCACAGTTCCCCTTCACTTCTTCACAATTAACACCCTACTTAGGCCCTTTCCTCCTTTCTCTTGATGTGCCTTGCAGGGGGTGGTGGTGGTGATGATCAAGTATTTCCTCTGTCCAGACCTGCCCCATTGCATTCCCATACTAGTCTTTAATATGTTCCGTGACACCAACTTCAGATGTTTTTGCCCTGTATATTCCCTGGAGGGCCAACTTCTTGCCTATCTCTTCTGAAACCAGCACTGATGCCCAAAGGATTTGGGGCCCTATCACTCATGAAGTGCTAACATATTTTGGGCCCTTTTAGTGATACTTTGTCTGCTGAGATTCTGCATGGTGCAAAATAGGAAGCAGATCTGGATTTGTCTCCATTTTTATAGCGGGAGCAAAATATCACTTGAATTCCAAAGCTTATCTGGATTGCCTTGTTGGTTTCCATTAACAATTTGAATTGATTCTGATGTTATGGCTATGAGCTTCTTGCTAGGCTTCTGTAGAAAGTATAATATTGCTCTTATTTTCACAGATAAATCTCCCCCAAAGAAGACAATCATTTCAGGGAACAGGTTGAACTAGATCCCTTCCTCCCAGGCACACCATATTTTTACACAGAAGGAAATCAAGAATGGTTATAAGCACATGAGCTCTTTGTGTATCTCTCAAACTGTTATCAGGCATACATTGTTGCTGGAGGCCCGTTAGCAGATCTTGAGCTCAGCTTTCAACATGTACCTTTGTGTAGAAGGTTTATGTTTTCCTAGTGCCTTCAATTCTAACAGTTCACCCAAACTTTACTTGTATCCTCCTTGCATTCATACATGAAGCAGTTAATCAAAAAGTGACACCAGTATTTTTCATTTGACCAAGCCAGTCATATGGCTGCATTTTAACAGTATCACCTCCCAAAAAGAAAAGAAGATATATATATATATTAAAGAAAGTAACAAAATTGAATTCAAATTGTATGCTTCTGGCCTTTTCATTGCCTTTCTACATTTTCCCCTTTTTTCCCCTTAAAAAACAAACAAACTGGGTTTAAGTAACAAATTTTGTTTTATTTTTTAAATAAATGAGACTTTATATTGAATCTCTTAATTACAAATACTGTGTTAATAATAGCCATTATCACATTTGTATAGGTCCAAGTTATTACTTTGCATAACAAAATAATGCAACAGCTGCTCACAGAAGCATACAAATAGGTGCCACAGGAAACACCTCCTGAAGAATTCCCCTCATTTAAAAAACACACACACACACACACTTGTGAGCACCTCTGTATGTGCCTTCACTCCCATTTTTTTTTTGCTTTCAACCTCTGGTCTTGCTGCTTAGGAGCAGTGAACACAAACAACAAAAATGCAACACTTGGCAGTTTTTGTATAAAACAGTATTTCTTATTTATAATAAAGTCTGAATATTTGTAACCCCTCATATTCTGGATTCTTGAGTGTTCATTTGGAAAGCCAAGTTAAATGCATTGGTGGTCTGTATCAAGCTTCTGGGATGGGATAAGGGGCCCATTTTACCATTGTGCAAATGAAGCAATCACTGTTGGCAACAGATTCTGTAGGGGAGGTGAAGAGGGGTCTCCTAGCTGTTTCTTCTCAAGTCCCTGGCTGTTTCTGCTCTCGGTAATCGGAGTTCTGGGGAAGATCAATAGGGATTTGATTATATCACACTTGCTGTGGTTTTGCCATGTTATTCCATCTCATCTGTTGGGGTATCTCCTCCTCCTGACCCAAATTAATCTCTCCATCTATGAGGGATATGTTTTCCCTCCAGAGCCTGCTTTTTTTCCCTTCCTTCCAGTATTCCGTAACACCTCCAGGAAAACGTAGAGCAGATTATGTTGGCTTTGTGGGAGGTTTTCACAAGGGCTTCCTATGCATACATGTTTTGGTCTTGTCTTTTTCAAATGAGTCCTGGTTCTCTTTTTCAATAAAGGCATACCCTGTGGCCATTTCTGCCTTTTAAACCTTTATTGGGAGGAGCTTTTTATTCTAAGCCTCTGATGAAACATTCTATAGAATGCTCATATTCCCCAATGTTTCTATAATTTCTGATTTATCTAAGGTAAAGACCTGGCCCCAGGCTTGCTATTCTCTTTTCTCCTCCTCCCCTCCACCAAAACACACACAGAGAGACAGTGACCTTTTTGGTGTCTGTGATGTCAACCTTGAAAAACCAGTGTCTTCTAAAGAGAGACTCCCATGTTTTTCATAGGGACACAGTAGTTACTTGCTTTCTGTCAGGTTTGATTTCAGCCTTCCACTTGAGTCAAGACATATTACTTTCTCCCAACTTCTGAGTAATAGGATTTCATTTCTGGGATGTCTGTCATGCTCTCCCTTTTCTATTCAAACTGTTCAGCTCTTGTGTTGCCTGGGACTAGTGTTTATTTCTGACCCTCAAGACCCATTGACGGAATGTAGTCTTTTCCCCTGTATTGCTCCAAATGGATTATGCCCATCATTCAACTGTGATATGAGCTGGCCAAAAAGCCTTGTCTCTTTCTGCTCTGCACTCTCTTCACAAGAGAGATGGCAGCATCAACAGCCATTTCTTCCAGGTGTATTCCTACTACAATTAATTCTGGAGATCTGGCTGGGCTGTCCTGTTCTGTCACTTTACATTGAACAGACTCTCAAATAAGGAGCAAGCTATTTATTCATTAATCACAATATATAAATGGTTACTATAACTGCAATTCTTTGGTCACCCGCCTATCTTGCTGGGTCTTGGGATCTCACTAATCCTTTGGATCCCCTGTGTCAGTTTTAGGAACTGAAAGGTTTGGAGGCAATTGACCCTAGTAACATATACAGGGGAGTCAGGCACCTGCCAAATAATTCTATAAGTTTTAGGAAGCTCTATTTGGGACTCAATGCAACTAATAACCTTTATATGTGAATTCACAGTTGATTCAAATGACTGGTTATAGGCAACTAATTTAAAACTCTTGTCAGCACTTAAGAGTTGACAGAATTGACAGAAATCTCTGGGAATACCAGTAGCTAGGAATGATGTTAAGGAATACCACTGGTGGAGTTTGTGGCCTGAGATCACTGATGGAAAATGTTGCAAAATTCAGTGTTTCACATTTAATATATTTCCAATGGCCAGAAGCCAGTGGACAGAGAATGATGTTGGAAGGTATGGAGAGTTCATTGTTGTGTTGTGCCTGTTCTTTGATTTGTGGACTAAACTAGGCAATTACATTTTTAAACAACCACAACAGCAGTCTGCTAAAGTATATTAGAGAATTTTTTAATGCTTCCTACTTCCAAATTGCAAAAGAGAATAGTATTGATTTTGAGCATCTGTATTTCAGACAGCTTGCACTTAGGCCATCAAATTGCTCACTCCCACGTAACAGATGGGGCCAGTAAGAGGAAATCCTTCAGAGGAATCCCTAACAACATTCCCAATGTTTACTTATCAGTAAATGGGCACAGTACAGAACAAGTAAACATCTCTAAATATCTGACTAATTTGCACACCCACAGAGATTATGTGACATTATGCATCAACTCTTCAAGCCTTTTACCATTCTTGGGATGCCTGGTTTGTTTCTGCTGTTTCTCTTTCCTTCCTCGTTTTCTTAACTCCCTTCTTATTCCTTCAGTCCTTCCTCCCTTCCCTTTTTTCTCCTTTCCTTCTCATCCTTCCTGTTTCTCCCTCCCTTCCCTCCTTATTCTTTCTTTCCCTCCTTCCCTCCTTGTTCTTTCTTCTCTTCCCCGAAGACAGTAAGTGGCTGTTGCTGGGTAGGGGAAGGACCAAAGGGATGTGTAAATGTCTAGTGCAGTATGAGTGCAAAGGGAGTGAAGGACACTATGGTGGTGGGAGAGACTTACCCAAGCAACTTGTGACCTTCCCTGCTGCATTTTCCACTGATGTTCTCCCTGCAAGCTTCCCACAAGCAAGGACTTTGCTAGTGGGAAGACAGCAAGAAGCATCAGCAATCATATCAGTTTCTTGCAGTTTCCCCATAGACCTATGGGAAGCATCAAGGAACATCAAAAA